AGTGTGCGGAAGAAGGAATGCCTGCATCCGCCTGCATCCCATCTGCGTCACCATGCAGCTTAATTGGTACAATCCCGACACAGAGATCCCTGACCTGACGGGGAAAGTGATTGCAGTGACAGGAGGTCAGTTCATGCACTTCACATCGAGCTTACGCAGCTGACCTAGATCTCCAGGAACTGCTGGAATCGGCCACGCCGTCATCTGCGAGCTCGTGAAACACCATCCAAAGCAGATCTACTTCACTGGCCGTTCTAGGACACAGGGAGAAAAGATTGTCGCCGAACTGTCCGCCGAGACAATCGTCACTTTCCTCGAATGCGACCATTCCTCCCAAGCCTCCGTCCGCGCAGCCGCCACGCGCATCACCGACGCATCCGACTCAATAGATATCGTGTTCTGCATCGCAGGCGTGATGAGTGTACCGCCCGCGGTATCCGTCGACGGGTATGAAATGCACATGGCCGTCAACCACCTCGCGCACGCGCTTCTCATCAAGATGCTTCTGCCCAGCCTGCTGCGCGCCGCCGCACCACGCGTGGTGATCACCTCATCCGCTGCGTTCGGGATGCACCCGCGCGGCGGAATTTCGTTCGACACCCTGCGTACGCCGCAGGGAGGGCTGCTCGAGCGCGAGTGGCGCTATGCGCAGAGCAAGTTGGCGAACATCCTATTCGCAGCTGAGCTGGCGCGGCGCTACCCCCATATCACGGCTCTGTCGACGCACCCTGGCGTCGTGCAGACCGCGATGTTGGCGCAGCAGAACGCGCTTGTGCGCTTGTTAGGGTCGCTGATGCAGTTCGGGACATTGTTGACTCCGGCACAGGGCGCATACACTCAGCTTTGGGCTGGCACCGCGAGCAAAGATGTGAATGGGGCCGAGATCGTCAACGGAGAGAAATACGATCCCATCGGTGTCCCTGGTGCACAAACAAAGGTGTCAAGGGACGCCGAGTTAGCAGGCCGCTTGTGGGACTGGACTGAGCAGGCCATAACACTGCAACAGTAGACACTCATGGACTATTTACATTTACACTACATGAACACCATTCACTTTGGGTACTTTTGCGGCGGGCACCTCCTCGCCATCTTCCTCCCTCCGCCGCTTATTGGAAACCCAGCGAAAGGGTTGGGTAAAATACACGTCGATCGAGGGTTTGCGTGTACTGCGGACAGGGCCAGCAGTCACACTGTGCCCCTTTTTCTTGTACTGGAGATTACTTCAGATAGAGTGAAGACGACGACTGCAAGCACGCACCGTCTCTAACTCGGGTTTCCCCCTCCACTTCTCGATCGCCTCGCAAAATCTGACAGCCGCACGCTCGACTGGTTCGGCGGGATACTGCCAAGCGAGGTCCTCCATGTGAGTCGACAGGTCTGGTGTTGATGGCGGGATATCGTAGAACTACGAATGGTCAGTGGTAAAGCAGTTAGCAATGTTTGAGGCGCACCCTCCTCAGCCGTGTCTCCATCTCCATCTCGAACTCTTCCTCAGCTAGACCTTTGTTTCCCATCGGATTCCGGAGCGTAGGGAACAGCATCTTCACCGCATCCGGCAAACTCGGCAGCTCGTCAGGATTGAATTCCGCGAAATCATCCTTGGGTTCTGTTAGCGGTGGATGCATTCCCAAACCGACTTTAAGAAGACAGTCAACAGCATCAGGGCCGCGCCATCCGGCCGTCAAATAGCCCTCCAGAACTGCTCTTGTAAGCAGCCCTGCCAGTAGCAGATACCATTCTCTCGATGGCAGGAGTGCGGAGTTGTAGATATGCGGAGTTGCAATCGGGGACGCAGGGGGCGGAAGCGGTTCCATCTCTGGTGGCCCTTGCCAGTCCATTCTGTCTGTCACCATCTCTGGCGACGTAAAGTCCCCATCGGCATCCGCCAGGTCATTGTTTTCATTCTCGTTGTCGTCCACGGCAGCAGGCTCTTCTTCTTCACCCCTCGCCTCTCTCCCCATCTCTGCAGCGACCATCGCGCTCAGCCTCAAAAACCGCGGGATCAGTTCCGACAGCTTGGTGTTGCCCACCCCGCACCCATCGTCATGGATGACGTGCATCCCTCTCCTGAGCACCGTTCCCGTCCTAGCTGCCCTGGTCAAACCGGAGCCGATTCCGCTACCGTCCAGCCAGCCACTGATCCCTCCGCCCTCGGGCGCCAGTCCCCCGGGCATCGCCTTCCAGTATTGGGTCGCCTTGGTACTCCCCAGCTCGGCACCGCGCTTCGTAGATACCCGGACACTCGCCTTGGCTTCGACACAGATCTCGCAGCCCGTGTGCAGATGCCGCGGACAGCGGAAGGCTGGTGGAGCGTTAGCCGTGCTAGGGTCTGCACCTGCGTTGTACAGCGTGCGCACTCGTGCACTGGGGGCTGGTGGTGTCCGTGGTTGCACAGGATACAGAGGACCAGGGCCAGGACGTAGGCTCGACGATGGCGCCGTCCAGGGCTGGATGTCGGGTTGCTCAGGGTACGATCCAGAAACGTTGCTCAAGGACGATAGCGCCGGAGGAAGCGCGACAAGCGAGACAGTTTGCGCGGCTGGAGAGGAGATGGACATCCGTCGATGTCGGTGGGACTGAACGGGCGCTTGCCGTGCGAATAGGTCGTTGATCATCGTTCCGAGCAAAAGTCGCAACCGCACTCCGTTCGGCAGCACATGTGGTCCAGGCGTCTGCGTGCTTGGGAAGATTCTAGGGGATGTTGGTGGCGTTCCAGAATCTTCTTCTTCGTCGACTCTCCGGCCCTCACCCTCTTTCGGCATCTGCTCCAGCATACTTGTAATCACCCGCTCCACTGCCTCTGCGCGCACCCTCAAACCGCGCGCTAACCCCAGATCCTGAGCCCGCAGCCGCTCGTCCTCGTCGTCGTTGTGCGGGCGCCCCGGGTCGCCTGCGCGCGCTTTGAGCGTTACCGCATCCTCCCCATCGGAACCCATATCCTCTGATTCCTCATATGTCTCGGGCCGTAGACGGTGTGCATAGTGTGGTGAAAGGGGGCCGCCTGTGCGGTCGGTCATTCCGAGTTCAGCGCGCGCTTGCGAGAAGCGTGTGCGACCTGTGTTTGGATCGTCATGGTCATGATACTTTGTAGAGTTACAATGAGCGCGCACCGTGCACCCAAAGCATATGGTCCACGATCAGTGTCCGCGTGCTCTTCTCTCGAGGTGGTATGGAGTGGAGATGATGCGCGTGCTTGTGCGCCGGAACGCGGAATCCGGTCCCATTCTGTTGTTGAGAAGATGTAGACGAATTGGATTCGGGGCGAGAGACCGAGGGGTTGGAGGAGGGTGTCAGAAGTGAGGACGATGCGGCAGTAGCGAGGTTCTGTGCTGCGTAGGAGAGGTTCGATACTGTGTTGGTACTAGCGCTGCGGATGGAGGAGGTTGCCGATGCCGATGAAGGGAGGGCGGAGGTTGAGGTTGAGGGTGGCTGGTGAGTGGAGGTACCGTTCTGGGAAGTCATGGCTTCTTCGTGTCGGAGGTCGTAGCCTATCGAAAGACGGGACAAAAAAAGCAATAAGTAGGAACAGTCCGAAGAGGAGATCAATGGATGGACGCCTACGCGAGTGACGATGGCAGGCGTGACTTCACGTCAATCATCGGAGATTATCGGCACTCAAGCTAAACTGTTCCGCAGTACTCCGACACTTTGGGTCTGAGCGATCTTCGGCGTGCATGTTGGGGCTGGTCCAAGCGCGAGTAGCTTCTAGTCAATCATGAATCATGATTAGGATTCCCGTGTAAAAGATATTCGATTCCCCACGTGACAGTTCAAATAATCCCACGGAATTCTAACTTTTCCGGGCCCCTGGTTCCTTGCGCTAATAGGTCGATTGCGATGTGCCACAGGAGATAGTGAGCACCTGCTTGAAGTTGTCAGGCCCAGGCTTTGAAACCCTCTGTGTGTGAAATATCTTTCCAATGTGATATTTCCAAACCAGTGATCATAGGCACTAGCTAAATGGTTCGTGACGCCCCTCTTAAAAGCTTGGGGCGGGAATACACAAGATCGTGGCCGCCCGTGTCAAGGGTAAGGATCGAGCCAAGGTTGATGTTCTCCCTGTCTGGTATTCATCTGCGAATTGTCCCAGGTGCCAATTCCAACGTCATTCAGCCGCCACCATCGACAAGGCGGAACCATGCTGCTATAATGCTAATCTTTCCACATATTCTCAGAGAGTCTTCCTATGGCACGAGAGCCATGCGTGAATCAAGCTGCTCAGGAATTTGATGGTTGAGTTGTCGGGTGCACAAACGGCGTTCAAATTTGGATCTACCGGATACGATCAAGATGACTGTCCTGACTGCGAATTTAGATCACGGATCTATCTAACGCTCCCCTTTCATGTGCCCGTCCTTCTGAGCGAGAAACCTTGCCGGCCGCGCATTGCACAAGGTGCCCAATGCCGGGACGGGGGGAAAGAGCGTGGTCGCAGGGAGCCGGTCTTCGATTGGAGCACTTCGTCCGTCCGCAGCAGAGACGGAGACGTTGACAAGATACATGATCAACATGCCATCGGTAGGACTGTAGCACCATGGTGCTCTAGATCGGACGATGGACGGCAAGGCACTTGGGTGTTTGATAATGGGCGGGTGGTGCACACCTATCAGATATCAAGCACCAATTACGATTTCCCCGTCGACTGAGCTGTGAGCCAAAGATGCCCGAGGACATTCGGGGTATGTATATACATAGATAACTGATTAGATGCTGCGCACAGCCTGCTTCATCTCTCGAGGCAGTGTTGCCTTGTAGTGTAGGGCGATGCATATTGATCTGCAGAGCTTACTGATCTAGTAACAGTGCTACAGAGAGGGAGAGAGAGCAGCAAACAAGCGTGAAGTACGAGCGGAGGCAAGCAAGGAGCCTATTTGAGACAAGATCGATATTGCCGCGCACGGGAGGAGAACAGATGATGGTTGCTAACAATCACAAGTTAATGGTCAATGAAAGACCGAAGGGTTAGCTTACATAATTGAGAGAAACAACAACAGTAAACTGACACACTCATTCTCCTTCTTCACACCGCATCTCCTGTGACGAGGTGTACTGCCTTGCTACAATGGATCCCCAACATCAGGACCAGGACTATTTAGCCGATGTTGTGGACTTTTCCCCTGGCTCTCCCGACAATTTCCAGATCTCGTTAGACCCCGACCCATTTGACTACTCGAATCTGGGCAGCCCCCCGTTCCCCCATACACCATCTTACAACGGATCCTTCCACAACTCCCCTTACTCCAATCACTCCGAGCTGAGCTTCAACGGAGAGCGCGAGACCTTTGGAATATTCGAAGAAGATCACGTCGGCGGAATCTCCTCCCGAGACTACGATCCATCGGAGTTCGACACCGTCAATCCCCAAACGACGTCCCTTCTCATGTTCAACGAGAACGACTACATCCATAGCAACTACGATCCCAGTCAACTCTCCACTGTGCATATCTCAAGCCCCGATCTTCGAGGACCCTATGACTACAGTTCTCCGTCGAGCAACGGCAGCGGGGAGGAAGGGCAGCAGCAGCAGCTACGTAGCAGAGGGTCTTCCGTATCATCCAACCACAACAACGTGTCCCCTTCCCCGCGCCTAGATGTCTCCGCCTTTGAGAATCTTTCCTTCCATTCTCCCAGCTGGGGCACCGACCCCCTCCCGCGAGAACGACCCGTCTCCCCACATACTCAGAAACCACAATCGCCACCAAGGCTCGTCATGCCCGAGTCGAGTGGCAGCCCCACCCCTGCTTTTGCTGCACCGCCCACCATCAATGCACCCGACGGTGACGGTGTCCATCCCCGGCTGCACATCGTGCCTGCGACACCCGTGAGCGGTGGAGGCCCGGCTGCGACGGCCGTGCCGTTCCAGAACGGTTCGGACCCTTTGCGTCAAGGTGGTGAGTCACGAATTGCAGCCGTTACGTCAACGGCCGATACTCATCGGTCATCGTGCAGCCTCTTCAGAGCAGTCGACAGGGTGGAAAGCACCACCGCAGGCGGAAGAATACGACTTCAATGTTGGTCACGATGGCTTGTCGACAGCTAACGTACAGATGCTTAACAACTCGGTGAACGGCAACGATGCATCCTCACCTTACCTATTTCCTGGCATCCACACTCGCGGAAGAAGAAAGTCGGATCCTGGACTGGAACCGCCCACCTGGGATTTGAGTAGTGCGCATGTGAGCTCCACGCATGAGGACGCGGTGTCCATGGCCGAAGTTGAGCATGGGTCGATGGGTGGTTCGCATCGGAACTCCTTTAACGGGACCCTGCAGTCATTCCCGCTTGAATCGTCCGCACACCTGCTGAACCCGAACCCCAAACGAGGACATGTCCGACAGTCGCGGTCAGAGGATCTACGAGTGAACGGAATGTTCCACGGTGGATCTCCAGATTTCTTGCGGGCAGATGCATTTCTGTCCCCGATGGATCCGCCGCCGCCAATTCGCAACCGACACTACCGGAGTGCGTCGACGGGCGGTGGATCTCTGCGTAGCGAACGTGGTGCTACCTTGGGAGGCAGCGGCCAATGGAGCGCAGCTTCCTCTCAGCGGGCCAGCCCCTATCCCAGTCCGAATGTCTCGCCACAGCCTAATTACTCGGACCTGCCTCCAGAGGACCCTTCACTCATTGTGTCGAAGCCGAATGTGACGACTCCCCGAACAAGCACGGCATCGCACAGCCGACGCAAGCAGGAAGCGACTTTCATATGCCCTGTCCCTGGATGCGGGAGTACCTTCACTCGAAGCTTCAATCTGAAGGGGCATATCCGATCCCACAACGAAGAGAAGCCGTTCCTATGCAAGTGGCCGGGGTGCGGTAAGGGCTTCGCTCGCCAGCACGATTGCAAGCGACACGAGCAGCTGCACACGAATTACCGGCCATTCACATGCGAGGGTTGTTCGAAGCAGTTTGCACGGATGGATGCTCTGAATCGACATCGTGGGTCTTCCGTGCCATGTGTAATCTTAGTGCATGCTAACTTACTTGATCCACAGTACGGTCTGATGGGGGCATCGACTGCCAGCGAGTGTTGGAAGCCAGTGGGCGCCTGCCCGAGTTTTCCGGTGGGGGGAAGGGGTCGCTCATGCCCGACGCCGGCGGTGGTCGTATTCGCTCGTATAGCATGGGGAGCTACTCGGAGACCCCTGAGCCTCCAATGCATTTGATGCCCAAGGTGGAGGATCCATGGGCGAATATGACTGGCGTCGCATTGTGATATCCGTCTATTACACGCTCCTTGCTGTTGCTTTTCCTTCCTTGCTTTTCTTGTCGCCGCTTCGAATAGCTTATGCTCGTTTCAATCCCTATCTATTCCAGTGTATCTGATTGCGGACTTTTGTTTGGATACATTCTCTCTTCTCGCTGTACCTTATAGAAGCAAAGAACCAACTTTCCCTTGTACCTAGCTGTCTGCTCAATCATTATGTATCTATCTGCTGTCAGCGTGCTACGGCCAGATTATATACTTTAATAGTAACTTGTAACAACATTCCCGCCGTTTTCTCAACACTAGAAAGGTCCGCTCAGTTCTTGGCTCATGAACCGGGTTCACGAGATTTCAATGAGCCCGACAGATTTCAGCAGTTCCCATCACTCTCCACCCAAATTGAATGGTGGCAGACTGAGACATCTCCATTTTAGGACAAAAGGGCACAATCTTGCTCAGTTGCTGTTATAATCTATACACCTGAAAGCCCATAACCCCTTCGGATCCATGAATTTTCCATGTGACCATGCTGGTAGCCTGGTAGAACCCATGAGTTTGTAGAAACCATGATCAATGGCAATTTCAAACTAGAGGTCAGCAACAACCTGTAACAGTGCAGGAATAAAAGGGGGTGTGCAGGAAAATTCACAAGACTTGGTGCCAGGTCTGGCAGCAAGCAACAATAGTGCAGGATGTAGATCAAAGTTGTAAGCAATATGAGATGAATGAGACGAAGTAGTCCTTCTCCAATGCTGCTTTGATGCTCCTGTTGATTGACTAAACAGCTTTGATTTCATCAATCAACTGCTGATCCTGTCCTCTGAATGTAACTTCTGTTCAAGTACTTGATTCGTTGGTGTTCCTCTAGATTTTCTGTGAAAATCAGTATATTGTCCATATGTCCCTTGTTGATCAGTTCCCATAGTATGCCATTCATTATGTTCTGGAAGGTTGCTGGGGAATTTGTGAGACCAAAGAACATGACCAAAGGCTCATACAGGCCATGGTTTCTGCAAAATGTGGCCTTCTATTCATTGCCCTCCTTGATCCAGACATTGTTGTATCCTGTCATGATTCAATCACTTTTTCATCATTTCTTTGATCATCTTATCTTATCTTGACATGGGGCTATCTTATCACAGATCACGGCAGCACACGGTCTGGGTTAGGGGCTTAGGAGGATTATCTCCAATTGATCCAAGGCTGTACGACACATGCTCCAGAAGGTTCTACAGTGCCCATCATCACATCACAACAACTCAATCTGGTTGTCATGTCACATCAGATTCCAGATGTATTTTAGAAAGCAAACTTAACATTACCAGGTGATTTACTGCATAAAAACACTCCTTTGGATGGTCTCTTATTCAGCTTGTAAAGGGCCAAGAAAAATATTGAGGTTGACTCTTTGGGGTTCAAGAAAATAACTGATTATATAACCATCACTCACATGCAATGACATGTGAGCTTCCCAATCAGATCACCTGATCCTTTTTCTCTTCAGCAGCTTTGATGGGATCAACGTTCCAGTGTCACTTTGCATGAAGTTTTGATGCAGCAATGCTTCAATGGCTCTTAGCCATGATTTCTAGGTGAGCGGACTCAGCAGAGATCAAGGGAAAACTGTCATAGTTTGACCACTTTTTCATCTTATCATCGACCATCCTATCTTATCTTGGCACGGATTATCTTATCATGGATCACGGCATCAGACAGTCCAGACTAGGGGTTCCAGGGATTATCTTTATTGATTCGAGGCTGCACAACATATGCTCTGGAAGGTTCTACTACAACCCATGACCAGTGCTCCATGCGGTACATAGCCTTATGACTCATTAGTTGTAGATATGACTCAGACTGGATTTGGGTATAAATACTGTAGCTACTTGGTTGTATTCTCCAGTCTTCAAATTCACTTCTCTTTTCAACTTGTTTTTGAGTTGATTGTCACATAATTCAAAGACTCCCCTCATACCCTCGTATCTCTTACCTCCTACCCTGCATCCTGCACTGCTACGCCCGCTATATCCTCTTCACCCTTATCACCCCACTCACCCTTTTACCAAATCATCTAGTTGTTCTCTGTGATCGCAGTGAAGGGTTCATATTGAGCAAACAGCACCAGGCCACAGGTAACGTTGAGCCTGACCTAAGCCTTACGGTAGCTACAAGGAGTGCTGCAGAGACCTTCGGGAAAACGCACCTTGGGATCATTGGGCACGTGAAGAGCTAGGCCCGGGATCTTTTTGCTAGCAAAAGAACCTTTCCTCGAGTGCTTGTACAGCACACGAATCCACCATTTTGTTCCGATTCCCATCGTCGTCTGGGAGTCCGTCCCCTCCTCCCATCCTACCATTGTCGGCCAATCTGGCGTATCAAAACCAACCGGGGCCCTCCAATCCCTACCTCGCCCTCCCGCCGCCTGAAGACGAGATCCCCGACCTTGACAAGTTACCCTCCGAACAACCACCCTTGCCCCCACCTACCACGCCTGCTCCTACCATGTCAGGACACCACCACATCACTCTCGCCGCCAACCCCCCCTATTTTGATGGGGACAAGACCAAGTACATGGGCTTTGTGGACTTGTGCACCACCTACATTGGTGCATACCGGTCAGAATTCTCGCTGGATGAAACCAAAATCCTCTTCATCCTCTCCTACCTCCACAATGAGGCTGGCACAAGCTGCGCCGCCTTGAGATGGGCAATGAACTGGAAGCAGCGCAACTTTGAGAGCCTTAATGGAATAAAGGCTGGGGTCACCTTGGCGACCTTCTTGGAGGAACTTCAGAGGGCCTTTGGGGACTCCAACACAGAGCAAGTTGCCGCCGCTCGACTCATGGCTCTGTGCCAGAATAGACAATCCTTTGCGGATTATATCTCCGACTTTGAGATGCTGGCTGCAGACACAGGGTACAACGCGGTCACCTCCACCGATAGCAAGGGCGAGTACAAGAAGGGGGATCAGGACAACATTCTCATCAAGTTCCTCGAGCGTGGACTGAGCAGCGAGATCACAAGCCGCCTCTACAACACAGGTGTCCCCTTGCCCAAGGCGTATGGCACCTTCAAGGACTGGTGTGTCAACATCGAGGCGAACACTCTGCATGATCAGCTGCACAAAGCATCACATGGGCACTCCACGCCACGACCACCTCCCCAATGACGCCCGCAGGCAGCCCCAATGACGCCTGCACCCGCCCCGGCCCAACCTGCTGCCAACAAACTGGTTCCGATGGAAATTGATCGCACACATGCTCATAGCCGCAATACCATCTGCTACAACTGTCAGCAGCCCGGGCACATTGCGCGGAACTGTCCGGAACCGAGGAAGAAGCGCACGTTCTTCAACAGGGCCACAATGCTTGAAGAGATTGAGAACGGGGACAAGGACAACGAGTTCCTCAAGGAGATCGCCAAGAAGCTGCGTGAGAAGGGTTTTTTCAGCGCTCCACTCCTCTAGCCAAGGAGGTGGAGCGTCCGGACTATGGACGTTTTTCTGTACTTGTTTCGATTAAAGACATGAACAATATCCTGTATACATACACGATCTCAGACTCACTACGTACTAATATTCACAATTTTCTTGTTGCTGATATGGAAAAAGAATGCCAAAGAAAAATAGCTTTAAATAGAGAGTATTTACAGAGTAAAAAGGATCAGAAAGCTGCAGATAAATTAATTTTGGACTCCTACGTATTTATGGCTTGTGGAGAAGGAACCACGTCAACAAAGACCAAAAAGGGGAGCATTGCTCTGGAGGCTCAATCCTTGGAAAAGGAGGAAGCGCCTAAGGAATCTCCTGAAATCAAGGTTCCAGAAGCACCCAAACGCACCAGGGTGCCAGATGCCATCCAGAGAAAATTGGCAGCCAAGAAACAGAAGGGCCCCCAGCCCAGCAGATTGGCGCAGGAATTGCACAGTTACCAGGCCGAAAGAAAGAGGCATTCGATGGACGTATATGTTCAGATCACGGGTCTGGACTCAGGAAAAACGCGCGGAGTCAAGGCACTGCTTGATAGTGGCTGCAGTACCTGTTGCATCAATACTGACTGTGCACGGGCAGAAAAACTGGATATCCAAGAGCTCCCCCAACCCATAGTGGCTCGTAACGCCGACAACACCAAGAACATCAGTGGCCAGATCACGCATTACGTCGACTTAAGGATGAGAATTGGCCCTCATGTAGAGACACGCACGTTCCTTCTGACGTGTTTGGGAAAAGCTCAGATCTTCATTGGTCTTGATTGGCTGATGGAACACAACCCTGAGGTAGATTGGCAGGAGCAGACAATGAGATTCAGCCGATGCCCCAAGTGGTGTCACATGAGGGATCACAAGGAGCACCAAGCAATGATCGACATGGATGCAATCGATTTGGACGCGGGCGCACTGGATCTGGAAGAGGGAGAATCAATCCTGTTGGTCGACTTTGGAAAGGAGGTGGACCTCCGGCTGAAGGAAACCCCGGCGCAGAAATTTGCAGAAGAAGCGGAAAAAGAGAAGGAAAGGATGACCAAGGGGAAGATTCCAGATCAATACCGGGAATTCATCAAAGTATTTGCCAAGGAATCATTCGACTCACTACCAGACCGACAAACATGGGACCATGCAATCGAACTCAAACCGGGCTCCAAAGCAGTGGACTGCAAAGGTTTACCCGCTATCACGAAATGAACAGGTCAAACTTGACAAGTTCTTACAAGAGAACCTGGCCAGCGGACGGATCAGGCCATCGAAATCACCCATGGCATCAGCATTCTTCTTTGTCAAGAAAAAGGATGGCTCGCTACGCCCCATCCAAGATTATCGGAAGCTGAATGAAATGACAATCCGAAATCGATACCCGCTGCCGCTGATCTCCGAACTGGTCCATAATCTATGCGGCACCAAGTTCTTCACAAAGCTTGACATCCGGTGGGGATACAACAACGTATGGATCAAAGAGGGCAACGAGTGGAAGGCTGCGTTCCGCACGAACCATGGACTGTACAAGCCCTTGGTCATGTTCTTTGGTCTCACAAATTCCCCGGCAACCTTTCAAAACATGATGAATGACATACTCCAAGAACTGATCAATGAGGGTCACGTGGTAGTTTATCTTGATGATATATTGATCTTCACAGAGAACTTGGACAAACATCGGTGGATCACAAAACTTGATAAGGCTAGCGCTGGGGGCTGGACAATTTTGCCAGCAATGAGCTCAAAAGGCCAGTCACCAGTTGCCAGCCTGACAAAACTTGTGACAACGGGGCTGGGGAGCCATTGCCTGTCGCTGGACAAAAAGAGAGCCACAGAAGGTATACTTGTGTGAAGGGCTCTTCTTTTCTCCTCAAATTTACTACTGAAACAATTGTTTTTGTGGGACTGCCTAGTCTAATTCCCCAACTAAACTTTCTATCTGAACAACAACCCCTACATCACATCTGATGCTGCCAATCAATGAGATTATCTGACTTGCCTCAGCCATAGGTGGAACATAAGTAAGAACTGCCAAAACAAACAAGAACAACGAGTTCTCATTCACCATGATTTCTTCTGCAATACTAGTGTCTTTCACAGTGCCTGATTTTGACCTGATTTTGATGTGATTTCGACTTCGATTTTGTTTTGATTTCAGTTGCCGGCGTGACACGACCCAGCAAGGCTGATCAACAATTTTGTCAATACATCAGATCACAATGGATGTAGATCATCTTGATAGATAGCTGATATTATTGATAATGTTCTCACGCGCTTTCTTGCCTCATCAACTATGCCAAAAAAGTCGGATCAAACACAGTGCACTGAGGCCCTTCATCACACATTTTGCGATTGTCGAAAATGACGCCCGCGCAGCAGCTCTGGCAACGGCAGCCCCAGATCCTGGCATTCCGGCCGTGATCGGCACATGTATCAACATTGTTACTCTGCTGTGACATGAGGTCCCTGGCAACTGAAATCGAAACGAAATCAAAGTCGAAATCACATCAAAATCAGGTCAAAATTGGGCACTGTGAAAGACCCTATTGACATTGGGAAAGAGAGAAATTGTGAGATTCTGCAAAATTAGAAAAGAGAAAAATGCGAGGTAGTGCAATGTCAGGCAAGATTGGTATATTTGAAGCAAAGTTGTGCCGGAGCACTGAACTTTTCAATTTCCAGATTTTGGCGCTGGCATTATGACGGATAATCAGAAGTGCTTTCAACTCAGGGGTTGTAAGGTGCAGTGATGTCAGAGGCATGCACTACCTGCCTGTGTCAAAGAACAAATCTTGTAATCTGTCACACTGGGGGATCATTAAAAAAAGGTGCCCCAATCAAAGATTTATATTTTCAGTATTGTAGTACAAAAACTATGCTACGATAGGTTGCCCAATACTTTTAATATAATCTGCCATCATTGGTTACCTGTTATATCAGCTATTGCATCCCAAAACGGGACCTACAATTGATTGCATATTAGGTCCGATCAAGACCACGTTTTTTCTTGTCCTTTTTTGTAAGATATCAGGGCTCATTTATATTCAAGGTATGGTGGCATGATTTATTGGACTCAATCTCTGACAAAATGGGGTCTAGATCAATGGCTCAGATATCTGAGCTATTGCGGCCCGAGCACAGTCTGCCCAGATATCTCTGATATTGGTGCACATTGCCGCCGACTGATAGAAAAAAGTTACCCCAATATCGGAGATATCTGGGCAGACTGTGCTCGGGCCGCAATAGCTCAGATATCTGAGCCATTGATCTAGACCCCATTTTGTCAGAGATTGAGTCCAATAAATCATGCCACCATACCTTGAATATAAATGAGCCCTGATATCTTACAAAAAAGGACAAGAAAAAACGTGGTCTTGATCGGACCTAATATGCAATCAATTGTAGGTCCCGTTTTGGGATGCAATAGCTGATATAACAGGTAACCAATGATGGCAGATTATATTAAAAGTATTGGGCAACCTATCGTAGCATAGTTTTTGTACTACAATACTGAAAATATAAATCTTTGATTGGGGCACCTTTTTTTAATGATCCCCCGGTGTGCGTGCCTTCAACACCCACGGATGCTCATCCGCAGAATCGTCCATCCACGGATGCTTACCTGCACACGCTTATCCGCGGATTCTTATCCGCGGATGCTCATCCGGGGCGACCAAATCCGCGGCAGAGCCTTAGTACTACCAAGTAGTCATGAGTGGTAGCTTTGTCCTGACCGCACGGCCACTATCGGACAACTCCACACCTATAAATTTGAAGAATCTCTATCTGCTGCTCAACTTCCCCATCACTCCAATCCACAACTATGACTACTCCGTATCCTGGCCAGAAAACTGCTCTGAATGTTGTCTTAGTGCGTCGCGTTGAGACCGGAGCGCAGAAACCGGCTCGGATTTATGACTCGCAGGGGACAATGACATTTGCGGCACAGGGAACATTCCGGGCGCGCGTCACTGATCTTGCAGATGTTGAGGCTATTATTGATGTCTTTCTCAGCCATGGCCATCGGGAGGTGCGTTATCTGCCTAGCTGTTCAATTTCTGTGAATGAGAATGCGCCCAGCTGGACGCTGCACGCGGGTACGGTAATGGCACGAACGAAGAACAGATCGGAAAGATCGACTGGAAGAGCAAAAAAGTGCTGATGGAGACGAAGTTGTATCCAATCTCGGTTGGTCAAGACCGCCGTTCCGTGGACGCGGTCAAGGCTGACTGATCTAGCCTGAGACAAGCTACATCGGTGATCATTCGCCTGCAAGCATCCGAAAGTTCTGTCAGATGTCTCTAGATGCTCTCAAGACTGAGTGAGTGTCCTCGATCAGGTCCTGGTTGCTGCCACTCAATCAATCAGTGCCCTCGAGATCTGGTACCTGCACGCCCCCGACCGAAAGACCCCTTATGAAGACACTCTGCGCGCTGTCAACGAGCTCTATGAGGAGGGCAAATTTAAGCGGTTCGGGATCAGCAACTACATGGCATGGGAGGTGGCCGAGATCTGTGGCGTCTGCGAGCGCAATGGCTGGGTCAAGCCGTCTGTGTATCAGGGCCTCTACAACGCGATCCATCGTGCTGTGGAACCCGAACTTTTCCCGTGTTTACGAAAATTCGGGATGGCATTCTACGGATTTAATCCGGTCGGCGGCGGATTCCTCACCGGCCGGTACTTAGACATCACCGACGAAGTGGAGGACACCTCTCGCTTCCACAGCACGGATCGTGCCAGCATTGTGAGTTCGGTCCAACCAATGTGCGGTGTGCTCCGCGCTTAACCCCTCCAGGCATACCGCAAGCGATACTGGCAGCAAGCTTACTTCGACGGGTTGAGGAAAATCTCGACCGCAGCTGAGAAACACGGCCTGACAATCATTGAAGTTGCCTTGCGCTGGACCATGCATCATTCTTTGATGAAACGTGAATTCGGCGATGCGGTCCTCATCGGTGCTTCAAGCGTCGCCCACATCAAACAGGTGCACCTCTGATGAAAATCATCTGAACTTCATTTCTGACTGCATAAAATGCCGTAGAATCTGGATGACTTTGAAAAGGGACCTCTGCGTAAGTGACTCCGATGACTGTGGGGGTGTTACTTATGTTTCTCAGCCGAAGAAGTTGTCGATGCTTTAGACGAGGCTTGGGCTGGTGTGAAGGGCATCGCAAGCAACTATTATCACTAGTTTATGCCAACAAAGTCAAATTGGTTCTGAAATTTGGCCTAAGTCGTATGTGCCGCACTGTATTATCACACAGTGCAAACGGTGGTAGTGGAATCCCACTGGCAAAGAGTAGGCTTCGTTCGCAGTCGGAAATGGCTAATGAGCGTTGAGTTACAAATTCGTGAACTCATCTTCCCGATCACCCACGTGCCAACTTATCACGCCACTGAGTTACCAGTGTGCCACCACCATCACACAGATAGACCATTGTTCGCTCCCTCAGTGACTCGCTTGCTGTATAGGAGCTTTCTCGGACGAAGATACATGGACTAGTCCATCTCTGGGCTATCGTAGTCTCCGAGAAAGCGTGATCACCGTCCTTCGCCCACCGGTCCACTTTATCCTCGAGATGGTCCGAGCATGCATATAGGCAACTAGGCTGTAGCCCTGTCCCCTGGGCTGCTTCCATGGTACCTTCGCTGTCTTCTCTCCTCTCCTCATGGCAGCTAAGCACTCGCGATGGTCACCGGCGTAGCAATGAGGACATGGATCCGGTGCCATTGAAACAACGGACATGGACGACGTGGGTATGTGGTCCCCCATCTTTGCATCTATCTTCTCATTGCTCCGATATGAGAACTATGTGGCCTACTGGATCTCTGATTCAATCAATCCCACGATTTGGGAAATCGCGAGCTCGATGGTTGCAATCGGACTATCTTGGTGAGCTGCACTGCTGCAACTATCTGTATTGTTCGTGGCTGACAACTTGCAAGGCAACAAGCGCTTCTTGCCATCTCAGTCGGGCATATTCTTATCGCGGTCGTAATATCGCTGAATGGCACGATGGGCGCGCAGCTACATATTCCATTTCCGGTGCGCCTTCCTTTCGGCTCTGAGTGACTATTTGGTTCATGGAATTTGTATGCAGGTCATAGCGCGCGCTTCCTTTGGTTTTTGGTTCAGCGTGTTTTGTGTGACATGCAGGATGAGCATTGCCATGTTCTGGTTCGGAATCGTTGTAAGCTGTGGCGCATTTATCCCCTTGCGAGTGGCTTCTTATTCTTATCAGAGCTTCAACGGATCCGAATGCACGTTCCAGATGGTCAAAGCGCTCTGGCCATCGTTCGCGGACGTTCCAAACCAGCTTCCCGCTTCGGCGGGAATTACAAGCGTCGGGATGATAAGCTACGTGCTCTTCTGGGCCATCCAGTTCCCGTTTCTGCTCGTTTCGCCCCGCGACATCCGCTATTTCTTCGTCGTGAAGGCCGTGCTCGCGCCGGCCACGTGTCTGGGCATGCTCATTTGGGCGATCATGCGCGTGTCCCCCGCCACGAGCCTCGGGCCCGGGTCGGAGCTGCACGAGAACCACGCGCCGTTCTCGGTGTGGCTGAGTGCTATGACCAGTGCGACGGGGGCCTGGTCGACGCTCGCGATCAATATCCCGGATTTCACGCGATACGCGGTGGATGAGAGAGCGTGGGTTCCGGTTGAAAGCTGGCTATAGTTCGCCTTCCAGCTGATATCTGTGCAGTCAGTTTATCCAGATTCTGGTCATTCCTATGTTTATGACCCTCGTTGGATTCTGCGGGATCGTTGTCGCATCGACGACGGATGTTCTGTATGGCACAATCATCTGGGATCCGTTACGCGTGATTGACCGCTGGGACTCTCGTCCTGCGAAATTTTTTGCTGCGTTCAGTTTCACTATGGCTGGTGAGTTCTTTCCGGTCCACCCGCCTCTCGATCATCCACTCAGTGTCAGGAACTACTGCGTAGTGCTCGGAACGAACATCTCTGCAAACTCCCTGAGCGCGGCCAACGATCTCACCGTGCTATTTCCGAGATACGTCAACATCCGTCGCGGCCAGGTGATCTGTGCGATTGTGGGCTGTTGGGTCATTTGTCCGTGGAAGATCCTTGCCAGTGCGCCGGGATTTCTCAACTTCATTTCTGCATACGCGGTATGTTCATGAGCGCCCATTTGTGTATTCTGCTTATTCGCTCAGGTCTTTTTGGCTCCCCTTGCCTCGATGTTTGTTTTATCTGTGCATGAAATCGAACTATTTTGCTGACACTCCCTCTGCTCTGTGTTACAGATTAGTTGTGGATGTGGGTGCCTTTACGACCAAGATATCTTTTGACCATTGGATCGCAGTACTGGATCGTCCGTAAACGGCGGGTCGACCTGATTGAAATATATCTGCCCGAAGGTCGCTATCGATATTGGCATGGGATTGTGAGCTGTTGCACATCGCCGGTTCGACACCCATTTGATTGATATAGAATTGGCGTGCGGCGCTCGCCTTTGTTGTTGGTCTTGGCCCCAACATTCCTGGACTAGTCGCCACGCTCGATCCGACCATCATTGTGGGGCGGCCCCTGCTCAAGGTGTACGATGTAGCGTGGTTGTATGGGGTGAGAATGCATGTGACTTCCTCTCTACTACCCAAATTAAATCCGTTTTGCAGACGATTTCGACCGCGTTTGCATATTGGCTTTTCTGGGTTTGGTTTCCGGCCAATGAAACCTTACTCGATGGTGATAATTGTGGTGGGGCAACCGCTTGAGCTCGAGTTTCTTTGGCGTACGTCCAGGGACAGATTTCCGATAAACTTGTGAGAAGCGTTATAGTTAGAATAGACTCGTACAGCAGTGTCGATTATGTAGAAAGGGACTCGGGTTGTTTGATGATCGAATTGTAAACGACCGATCCGATCAAAATTCTGATTCTGTATCATTAAAGTGTGCCAGATACGCTGCCTGCTGGAAATCTGCCTTCGTGTACACAGCTAGTAGCTCGAGATCTCTCGGATGATGTCCATTCAGAAAAAAAGTTACCCGACTGAGTGCATCACCCCGTCAGGGGAGCTCGCTTCGGCTGCTCTTGACACTTACGTCCATGCCAGATCATCGACAACGCACTGCGAGGCTCACAGCCCGATTTTTAAACCTCGCCAACCTCTGGCATGAAGTCCCGGAACTGATTCCATTCGGCGTCCTTGAGGTCTTCTTTCACTATCGCGACGAGCAGACGGTCGAATCCATCCTCGCCCCCGCGCCGACCACGGCCCACGCGAAACTACTCCGCCCACCAGTCGGAGCAGCAGCTGCGCGCCCAGACGTCGCTCATGGCGCTCTGCAGAGCCGGGGAAGTGATCGGGCTGGGGGGCGCGTACAAAAGTGACAATTTCCCCCTGGTCGATGATTTAGGCGTAGAAGTACCTTCGGAATGCTGGAGATTCTGAAAATCTTAGACATTTCCGGCCAACTGTATCTTGTATTCGAGAACGAATCTGAGCTTATCAAGACCAAGTTATGCAGCAAACAAAATGGATTATTCTCTTGAAAATAGAGCAACAGTAGGTTTGAGAGCGGAAAAACTCTTAGTAAATCTGGGTCAGACCGCGGAAGAACATATGCCTCAGTGACCGGGGACCTAGGTCAGCTGGACGAGCGAAGAGTATTCTTTCAGGTCTCGGAGCTTTTAATTTAGCGGCCGTCATGTCAGACTGGTCGGAGGTTGGGGCAGCTTGGAAATTCGAATTCAAAAGCCAGTTGCGGGCAAGAACTGATCAGCCATGGGTACAGCCACGACAGCTACCTATCAAATCATTGGCACCCAACTTTAACCTCCGCCCACTCTTAAAAGTTAAAACACCTCGGGTTCCAACATCGGTCGTTTCCGTCTGTGGAAAACATCGGTCTCATATCAGTAACGCGAACACCATGCGCCGTGGCTCTCTGTCCATGCAAATCGTTCGGGACGCGGCATTGCGGACCGTGCTCCGACAGGAGCCAAGACATGCCCAGCTTTCCACATATGGACCACAGGAAAATCTCCGTGCACTCTCGGGCTGGCAAGCCATTCGGGGCCGGCCGCATCCCCTATCGCCCCTTGCCTACATCAATGTCGCCTGATTGCACCCTATTACACCACCCCTGATCGGTATCTCGCGAATCGCGACGCTGATCAGCGGTAACAATCACCCGTCCCTTTCTCCGCTTCTCCAAGTATTTAGGCAGAGTGTGGGGATGTGGGGCACCCCGGCTTCCTCTCCATCCTTTTCGACCTGGTTCACGCACCCATGGAGTCTTCGCTCGAGAAAGGAGAGATCATCGCAGATGAGAAGGGTGGGGTGGTGCATTCGACGTCGTCTCAGCCGGCGGGCTCGCACATCTCTGGTCCGGAGCGCGCGGCTCTGGAGAGGAAGTTGCTCTGGAAGATCGACTTGCGGTGCGCCACCTGTGTCTTTCTTTGTGATTCGTACGTACTTACGCCGGCGCGCTAGGATGAGCATCCTCATTGTCATCTACATCCTCAACTACGTGAGTGACTTGCCATTGGTCGTGTGCCGCCGTGTTAACATTCTGTTAGATCGACCGGAATAATGCCGCGTCAGTAGCCTCTGCTCATCGAGACCCCTCCTCATCCTGACATGCCGAGCAGTGCTGCGCGGACTCGAGGCCTTACCAAGGACCTGCATCTCAAGGGCCAAGAATTCCCGACGCTGCTGTCGATCCTCTACGTCGGCTACATTCTCATGCAAGTTCCGAGCAACATGTTCCTGAACTACATCGGCCGCCCGTCGCTCTATCTTCCTTGTGCCATGATCATCTGGGGTGTTATCTCCATTCTCACCGGTATGTCGTGATCTGCCGTCAACATCCGACGGGACCGCTGACTGAACTCAATGAAGGCATCACGACAAACTTTGTCGGTGCCCTGCTGACGCGCTTCTTCCTCGGCTTTGTCGAAGCGGCGTTTTTCCCGTTAGTCCGCGTCTCTTTCTCCGCGTTGGACTTTCTGCTTACGATCACAGGGGAGCACTGTTCCTGCTCTCCAAGTGGTACAAGCGGGATGAGATTGGCCTGAGGACGGCCATCTTGTATACCGGCAGCATCATCAGGTGAGCGGAGCGCGACCGCTGACTGATTCATGCGGATGCCAAGTAATTGACTGGCGACTTCAGTAATGCATTCGGTGCCCTGATCGCCTCCGGGATCCTGCACAACATGGGGGGCAAGTTGGGCCAAGCCGCCTGGAGGTTTGTCGTTTGCCTTCTGTATCAGCATGTGCTTATCCATCTTCCAGGTGGCTGTTTTTCATCGGTGCGGGACTAGCCCCCATTGACGCGGATCCACGACTAACTGTGCTGTATAGAGGGAGCCTTGACGGTCTTCGTCGCCATCGTAGCTATCTTCGTTCTGCCCGACTTCCCCGCGACCTCGAAATGGCTCTCCGAGGACGAACGCGCACTTGCACTGCAGCGCATGTCGGAAGACGTCGGTGTCGGCGACGAGGGTCAGACTGAGCACGGAGCGATGCAGGGGCTGTGGTTGGCGTTCTCGGATTGGCGCGTGTGGTGTGAGTGACCGCGTGTCCGCTTCCATTCGGCGTGCTGAAATGGCTCTGCAGGGCTCGCTTTCGCGCTGACTGCGCAGGTCATCGCGCTGTCGTTCAACGCCTTCTTCCCTACTCTCACTGCAACACTCGGCTACAATCCCACGGTGACTCTGCTTTTGGTGCGCTCCGCTTTTCCCCACTTGGAACGCCTTGATCGCTCACGCGCCTGTTTCAGTGTGCACCTCCGTTCGGATTCGCCGCGATCGTCACATTCATCGTCGCGCGCCACTCGGACAAGGTCAACGAGCGATGCTTCCACATCGTGGGCTCCTTTGTCGTCGGTCTGATCGGCTTCATCATCGCTGTTTCGACCATGAACACCGCGGCTCGGTACATCTCGCTCTTCCTGATGGCGCAGTCCTATGCTGGTTTCGTCGGTGCGTTGACGTTCCCTTCTATTGACACACGTTCTGTTCGCTCATGCCTTTCACTTACTACAGTTCTGTTCGCGTGGTGCTCGAATACGTTCCCCCGCCCGCCGTCGAAGCGGGCCGTCGCACTCGCGCTGATCAACGCCTTCAGTCAGCTGGGCAACATCTCTGGAAGCTACGTCTGGCCCTCGTGAGTTGCTCCTAGATACTCCTGTTAGTAAGTACACTCCGCTGACGCGTGCACCCAGCGCATGGGGCCCGACGTACGTCCACTCGTACGCTATCTGCATCGGTTGCTCTGGCGCGTCCATCATCATGTGCCTCATCTTCCGGTGGGTCCTCAAGGCCGAGAACCGAAAGCTGGAGGAGGCAGAGGAGGAGAAGGGGGTCAGGACAGCGGGCTTCCGCTACATACTATAACGATATGCCATTTACGATTCACGAGGCTCGTGTAACACCCCAAAATGTAATATGTTCTGGAGACAACCTCAGTTGACCGCTGGCAGGCAGCGCGGTGCAAACCGCTTTCATACATCGCAACCGGAACCACTTGCCAGTCTAATAAAAGATCATTGTATACAGAGCAATGTACAATGCACAGTTACAGCAACATTTTCTTTCTTTTTCACTACCGACCCCCCGAAGCGTATCTGCAGCCAATGATAGATATAAGTAGATCAGGCGATTACTTGAACTGCAGACAAACGGATCAGCGACCAATTCTGGCGCGGCAGACAGAGCGCAACGTACGTTCTTGCCATCGGCCCAAGTCTTGCCGTCGATCGTGAGATCCCACGCGAGCGCAGCCTCGAAGAAGGCCTTGTCGTCCGCGTTGGCGATGTCGAGCTTCTTGAACTCGTACGACTCCCAGTCGGGCGCGACGTTGACGACCGGGGTCGCGTCCGGGCCCCGCAGGATGAAAGTGCCCGCGATCAGGGAGTTGTTGGCCGTGCCGAGCACACCGACGGAGCCGAACAGGTACTTGCGCGAAGCCTCGAGACGGTTGAAGAAACCGGTGATCTGGTTCGAGGACATGAAAGTCTGCGTGAGCTCCTCGGGGTACTTGAAGTCCACACGCCAGATGGAGAAGCCCTCCTTATCGAAGCTGGCATGCGGGTCAGCGGCTTGCATCCATCCGGTCATCGGAGAACGGCCACGTACTTCTCGTAGAACCATTCGATGGCACCGCCGGGACCGCGGGTCTCCTTGTTGGAGTACGCACGCTTCCAGTCCTCGAGGTTGAACGTCGACTTGGGGAGGTCGTCGAGCGGGTTCTTGACCTTGGGCTCGGCAGGGATATCGTCATCCTCTTCCTCCTCGGCCTTGGGCTTGGGCTTCTTCTCAGCCTTGGGCGCAGCGGTTGGGGGAGCAGGCTTGGCCTCCTTCTCCTTTTTCGGCGCAACGAACGTCGGCGCCTTGTCAAGCACCGGCGTCTCGACGAAGATGCCTGAGAACGCAGGCTGGTGGAGCACGGTCTGCATGTGGCGAATCAAGTTGGGGATCTTGGCGCGCTCGGCGGTGTCGATGTTGGAGATGGCGGCGTGCTGGACGATACCCGCGATGTAGATATCAGCAAGGGTGATGCGTTCGCCGACGAAGAAGGTGCGGCTGGCGATGTGCTTCTCGAGGGTATAGAGACCACGGAGCTGGCGCTCGAGAAAAGTGTTGTGAATCTAAGGTCTTTGAGATAATTGCACGGATGCGAAGAACGACAACACGTACCGGCTTGCTGTAGGGAGTAAGACGACCGGCGACCAATCCTTTGATGAGATTGGTGTATGCGTCGACCTCAGACTCCGCCAAGTGGACCCACTGGTCAATCAGCGCCGCGTCTTCACTGCTCTTTCCCAGGAGCCCAGAGTTCGGAGCGAGAGTGGCAACTGCAGGTTGAATCAGTACTAAGATGCGGCCAGCGATCAGCAGCAGCGATTTGGGTCAGATTTTCAAGATCTCGACACGATGGTTAAGACAGGGATAACTGAAAATGTAGATACTCTCATCATGCACAATCGCTGCGCCTCACTATCAAAACGAAAGATACGCACTGTAGCGGGCAATCGCAGCCGATTCGAACAGATGGAAGCCATCCTTTCCCTCCCAAGCAGGGATCTTCCCGTGAGGGAACTTGGCGAGAAACTCAGGCTTCTTGTTATCTTCGAAGTGGGTGTAGCTCGCGGGGAGCTCGATAGCTACACCACCAAAGGCTGCAACGGCTTGGATCTGAAGGCGAAAATCAGGAAATGATCCGACGGATGGCTTTCGGTGCACTCACAAGCTTGCCGGTGTTTTGGGCGGGAATAGTCCAGAGAGTGCCAACGGAGGACATGATGAAGCTGAGGGAGGCGAAGCGGAGGAGAGCAAGGAAGATGAAGGAAGATGAGAGAAAATTTTGATGGAGTCAGTCCGCATCGATCGATCGCATCACCACGTTTTCCATTTCCATGCACATCATAGTACACATACTTGGATATCTATGTACTCCGACATAAACCCTTCACAGCTTTGCCCTTTCCTGTTCCTTCTGCTTCAGAATGCGCACGGCTCGAATGGCCCGCCCCGCACGACTGATGCTTTCACGGCCGAGTTGCTCACTGATCCACCAACCAATATTGACCATCTGGTCAATGTCTATGGTCCCATTGACCGTGCCGTCGACATGATACTGTGATCCACGCAGCGCATATAGAACATCCTCCGTTGCGACATTACCCGTGGCTCCCGGTGAGTATGGACAGCCTCCGAGACCACCCACCGAGGCATCGATGGTGCGGACCCCATGTTCCAAGGCCGTCATGACGTTGGCGACGGCAGTGCCGTACGTATCGTGAAACTTCAGAGAAAGGCATCCATGAGCGAATCTCGTGAGCGGAAACTACTTCTCTTACATGACCCTGCACGCCTCGTCAGTCGCTAGTCATGATGGCAAAGCTCGACTACGCACCGCCAGTCGATCGACTGGAACACTCTTCTTCACTTCTTCGAGCATTTCAGACACATTCCTCGGTGTTCCCATGCCGACTGTATCGCCCAAGCTCACTTCATAACATCCCATATCCATCAGGGCCTTGGAGACATCCCGCACTCTCTTGTAGTCCACCCATCCTGAGTACGGGCAAGCGATAACCACACTCACGTAGCCGCGCACGCGCAGGCCCTGTTCCCGCGCTGCCTTGACCACCGGCTCCAAACGCTTCAGCGATTCGTCCGTCGTAGTATTCAAATTCGCTTTCGTGAACGCGTCGGTGGCGGCGGTGAAGATAGCTATCTCATCGGTCAAAGGAGGATCGGCTGAAGTTTCGGATAACAGTGTAGTGACCGCATCCAGCCCTTTCTGATTCGGCACGAGCACGGGGTATTCGACGCCAGGAAACCGGTGCATTTGCTTAAGCACATCTGCAGTGCCTGCCATCTGGACTGTGTTTGAAAATAGCACGCAGAACTGAGGTATCAAGCTTACCTGTGGCACCCACTTTGGGCTCACGAAACTCCCCGCCTCGATGCTCTTCACGCCCGCTTTGCCGAGACGAGTGATGAGTTCCGCTTTGACGCTCGCCGGTATGACGCCCTTTTCGTTCTGTAATCCATCCCTCGGCCCAACCTCGACGATTTTGACTAGGTTGGTGGCAGTGGCAGTACTTAGTGTGCGTCGGGCAAGGGTGCGGCGAGAATGCGAAAGGAGCCGGGACATTACGGACATGTCAGGCCAAGTGCGGGGTAGCTGGTGGCAGTGACGATCCCACAACAGTCAGGATTTCGGACGTGCTACCGTGCAGATTCCTCACTTGCAGGCTAGTTGCGATGTTTCACATTGACTCCCCCTCTAGTCGAGCAGTCTATCTCGGAACTACACGGCACTTGGAAAGTGGAGGTAATGAAAGCGCTAATCCAATGCCACCCTTTGATGGCATGCAAACTCTTGACGTCACCTGTCACTTCTAGCACATTCTCTACGATTCGCGTACAATCTAGGCTGGGTGGGCTGTGACACGTATATAACGCACTCCGCACATCTCCGTCCTTCACTTTCTTTTCTTCTCATCGTATATCTACCATGGGTGCCGACTACTACAAGCTCCTGGGCATCGACAAAGATGCAGATGAAGCGAAGATAAAATCTGCCTACAAGAAGATGGTGCGTATCGCATGTCTCACACCCCATTTTCTATCGAGCACTCACCACTCTCCACCCAGGCCTTGAAATGGCATCCAGATCGAAACGGAGGATCTGAGCAGGCATCCCAGAAATTCAAAGAGGCAAGTCTCACTATTCGGTCAGGGACATTCGGGTTGCTCAGCATGCACTCCACAGATTTCTGAAGCATTCGAAGTATTGAGCGACAAAAACAAGCGCGCAGTCTACGACCAGTTTGGAGAGGAGGGTCTGAAAAATGGAGGACCGACACCGGGCCAAGGCGGCGGACCCGGTTTCTCTGGGTTTAGTGGTTTCTCTGGTGGACCATCGACGCAGAGCCGACCCGGTGCATCATTCACATTCACTTCCAGTGGACCTGGAGGATTCTCTGCCAGCGACCCTAACACAATCTTCGAGTAAGTGATATCCTGGTCACTCAGGACTCATTCTGATCGGTCTGCAGGCAATTCTTCGGCGGCTCTGGATTTGGAGGTTTCTCCGGGATGGGCATGGATAACGGCATGCGTGGTGGGATGGGTGGGGGAGGTGCTGGCAGAAGGAGGACAGCGCCCCACACGCATGACGACGACGTCGACATGGACAGCCCGTTCAGCTCATTCGGTGGAGGGTTCGGCAGTATGCCAGGCGGAATGGGCGGTGGCGGGGGTGGTGCATACCGGTCCCAGCCACGGGCATCATCACACCCCACCGAGATCACGAAACCACTCAAGCTGTCCCTCAACGAGCTGTACTCTGGAACGACGAAACGACTTAAGGTCGGGCGACGATTGTTGAATGGTGCGACGGAGGAGAAAGTGCACGAAATCGTCGTCCAGCCGGGATGGAAGAGCGGCACGAAAGTGCGCTTCCCACAAGCAGGGAACGAGATGCCGGACGGAGATTCTCAGGATCTCGTCTTCGTGGTAGAGGAGAAGCCACATCAAACCTTCGAGCGAGTTGGGAACAATCTCGTCTGCAAAATTTCCATACCACTGGTTGAAGCGCTCACTGGTGGTGCGGGACGAAAAGTGGTCGAAGCTCTAGATGGCAGGAAGCTGCAGATCACAGTGCCTCCCGGTATTGTTCAGCCGGGACAGGAGACGATTGTTTCTGGGGAAGGCATGCCTGTTCGGAAAGCGGGAAGCACTCGAGAGAAGGGTGATCTCATTGTACAGTGGAAGGTGGTCTGCCCGACTAGTCTGACTCCAACACAACGAGAAGCGGTCAAGAAGGCTTTATCCTAGAGGAAAGGCAATTTTACTGGTCGTTTTTAGCAGATGATTCCAAACAGACTCGTAGGAAATTGTAATTAGATTTGTTAGCATTGCTCTGCATGTACTGTATATTGTATCGATCCATCTCATATCAATTGCGCGTTGTCAAATGACCAAGGAGAGACTTGAGGGATCAGAGGCACGGTCACGTGCAAACTCTCCGTCTAGAAACATCTCATCATTGCGAGGCGAAAATGTGTACAATCATGAATTGTTACAAACTGCACAATATCCAAGCAACTGACAACATGAATGCCTGGAAATTCTACCTCCGTGCACCTAGATTCAGAGACTTTTGTCTGGTGATTACACGCGCTGGACTGTGGTGTCCTTGACAACTAGCGAATCCATTGTATAATCTGTTCTGCCATCCTTCGGCCCTCTTGCTTTCGTCTTTGGACACCTTCTAGCCCATCCAAACGTCGACTGGATTTCGCCCTGCTTCCTCGTCTATACGCTTCTCCGATGGCACCAGCCCAATCTCCGGCTTCGTATGATTCGCGCATCAGCTCGATGCCAACGCCTTGCTGCTCCAATAGCCGGCGCAGGCCGTGCTCCTCAATGAACAGCGGGCGCGATACTACCGGGGTAGGATATGAGAGAGATGCACGCCAAACGAGCCGGAAGATCGCACCATAGACAAAAGGCGTACTCGAGTCGACACACTCGGAAACGGTGCCGTAGCCCTAACAGGCTCAGACGCTTTCAGAATCTCAGTGCAACGCAACTCACCAGCTTCCCAAGGAGAACATCGCCGACCGCCGTCAAATCAGGCATGTAAACGTCTCGAGGCGCAATGTAGAATCCGTCAGGCAGCAGCGAGTCTGTCGCGTTCTCGGCATTCCACTGGTCTTTCGACACACCGCAGACGACGGCTATCCAGGAATCGTCGGGAAGGAGGAGCGCCGACTGCTCTTCATCCACCTGCTCGTCCTCCGGGGGACTGAACACCCGCACCACGGGTGACGTCGGACTCGTCGCTGTCCCATCGCGCTTCAACGCGGGCGGGGCGCCGGGGATCCACAGATGCGACTCCGTGGCAACGCGGGGCGAGCTGAACACATGGTCTCCGTGATCGTGGTCGGGCGTCGGGGGCGGAATCTCGAGTCGCAGGTGATGGGCGTGCGGCGGTTCAGGCGTCAGATCGCGGCTGGCGTGTCGGCTATGTGAAGGCGTACCCGCCCTGCTGTGGGGCCGCCGGAAGATCTGCCCACCGAAGGAGACGACCAAAATCTTCGAGCTGTGTAGATGCTCGGGAATTCCAATAGAGTTGAGGAAATTCGCTCTCCCCGACGATGTATAGATCGACTCAGAGGGAGCACGGACGAGAAGCGGAGCATCGAGAACCTGGCGTGCGGGTTTCGTGGAAGTAGAGGGTACAGAAGGATATAAAGTGGAGGAATTATGATCCAGGGAAGCAAGGATCTCCTCGCGGAACTGGTTCGACGCAGGATCGACCCAGTCGGAGGAGGGCAGCTTCGGTTCCATCGCAAAAGAGGGTATTGGAATGTAGCCTGGAAGTCGAAGCAGCAGATCGGCACAGCGATAGCCCCGATGTATCCGTTGCACTGTGTCCATGGATGAGTTGCGCATTCATCCACCTAGAGTTTGACGGCCCACCCAGCGGCTCTAATTCTTCACGCGGTATCGGCGTGTCCGATTCCAGTGCTCTGAGGTGTTCGGTCGCAGGATGCGTCTCATCGCTGGTTGTCATTGGCGCCTCGGTAATCGTGGTCGACAGAAAGCTGTACACAGAATCGAAAGTGAAGTTGGTGACGAGAATGGAGGGCAGGCCGGCTTGCGTTGCAGCGAGACTGGAAGACAGTCAATTGATATCGAAAACTTGATACTAGTTTTCACATACCACCCCAGATATGCTGCGTCGCTTAATACGCAATGAGCGCCAACCGCATTCAGCCAGCGAACCTCTCTCTCCGCCATCTCCGCTTCCCGTTCCATGAACGCTTTTAGGCCATCCACACTCCTCTGCCTGTCCACACAATAGCTATTTGGCCCAAGTATCAGCGAAAGTGATCTCCGCGATCAGAACGAGCACGCACGCAAGCGGCTGCACGATCACCGGATCGATAAACGCGGAGCGGTAGTGTGCGCCGAGAGACACCGCGTCGGTGAACACGTGCTGCGGCGCGGAGGAAACGATGTAGATCACGGGGCGCGCCGGGCCAGGTAGACGCAACAGATGACTGGCAAGCGCGGAGACGCGTGTCGCATGCCCGAAACCTGCCGGGTTGCGGTATGTCTGTCAACACCGAAGACGCCGAGTTGAGCACGGCAACGTACCATGTCCGGAGCAGTAGTACACGAGTGTCTTGGGCATTGACGATTGGCCGGAAGGAAGTCAGGGTGGATGGCTACAACGTGGAGATGCCAAGGTCCAAGAAGTTGGGGTGAACACTCAAGTGACCGGGCAGGCGAGGACTAGAGTATCAGGAGGGGCGCCGAGCAAAAAGCACGTTGGCGTTCGGGGATGCGGGGTTTCGTTGGTATGACGCATTGAAACGGGCGCTGATGTTTGCTTTCCCGGAGGGCCCATTAAGGTCGACAACAAAGGACATGGTCTGTTTTAGGAAAGGATGATCGTGATGCAGAGTCGGGGTCTCAGTGTCACATTGTTACGGTGTCATAGTCATGTCATCACGTCTGCATAACATGACCGTGCTGTCACGTGTTCCAGTAGACACGACGCGTTCCCTGATTCGGGATGCGCACGGACGCGTTCTAACTGATAATATTGGCTCGATACTGGTGGATGTGCGTGGAAAATATCAAAATAAAAGAGTAAATCGAAAGAGGAAGAAGTGGAAGAGGGGAGGAAATCTATGGAGGCCGGGAACAGCATGCTGATTCGCGGTGCAAAATGAGATCGCTGTCTGATTGATTGATCGCTGCACGTGTTCGGCATCATTCACGGCATATCACATTGTACTTTGTTGCTTGTGCTATGTAAGGTTTATAAATGCTAGTTAATGTTCACACTAGTAAGATACCATATTGTATGTATGTATTCTTGTTAACGAGCGTTGATTTCCCCTGGTCCTGAAATTGATCGGTCACGTGCAGTTTTGATGAGTCAGCAAGGTCGCCGAAACACTTTCACGTGATCCAGTCTCATTATTGCGGACGCCCTGGGCAGGAATAGGCCCACGGACACATAGGGTGAACATCCTCCGAAATAAAGTAAATCTGGCCGAAAATTTTGACTTTAATCCTCCGGGAAATAGCATAAAAGTGCCTCAAAAAGGGCAGCAAGCCTCTGGAGATAGCGTAAAACTTGGCTAGTTCCCTGCCGATCTTGAAAGATTTGAGCCCCGGACCAGTGTAAAATCGGGTGGAACCCGGCCTAATCCGGGCATTTCTGACTTGAAATTAGGCATCTGGGCACATGTACTCTCATCAGTCGTCAGCAAGACTAATTTCAACTGGAAATGTACTGAATTTGGTAGCCTATGGGGAATCTAACAACCGATATGATCAGAATAATCGCTTACCTGATCGTTTTTTCTTGCCCATCGTTCCCGGCTCCCAAGCGCTGCACCATCCAGCCGGTTCCCGAAGTACATGGGCATGACGGAAGTGTCGGCAGCTGTCCTCGAAGTCACGGACAGTGGCGAGACCACAGACCCAGAGTTGGATCTCTCGGAATGGATTGGCATTGAAAGAGTCTACAAGGACGTCCCATTGGTGGTCTTCATCAATTCAGGGTCTCGTAAACGCGTAGCGGGAATGGCCACTGTGCGTTCAAGAGGTGGTAAAGGCCTAGAAGCTTAGGGAGAAAAATCGAATTAACCCTTCGAAAATAGAGTAAAGGTTGCTCAAGATGTCGAGAAATTGAATGTAAAAGTAGGTAGGCTGGCGGAGGATGTTCACCCTATGTGTCCGTGGGCCTATTCCTGCCCAGGGCGTCCGCAATAATGAGACTGGATCACGTGAAAGTGTTTCGGCGACCTTGCTGACTCATCAAAACTGCACGTGACCGATCAATTTCAGGACCAGGGGAAATCAACGCTCGTTAACAAGAATACATACATACAATATGGTATCTTACTAGTGTGAACATTAACTAGCATTTATAAACCTTACATAGCACAAGCAACAAAGTACAATGTGATATGCCGTGAATGATGCCGAACACGTGCAGCGATCAATCAATCAGACAGCGATCTCATTTTGCACCGCGAATCAGCATGCTGTTCCCGGCCTCCATAGAAATCAGAACAGTTTGCCCCGATCACAGTCGATGTCGGAAGCGTCGGCGTTTGGATGCCGGCGGCACAGCAACCACGTGTTAGCAAAAAAAAAAAGTGCTGTGATCTGTTCCTCGAGCTCAGAGGCCACTACTGTATGTGAGGGTCTAGTTGGCCACCTAAGAGACTTTAGCTCTGTAACACACAATATGATACCCTAAGACCATATCCAATGGGTCAGAAACATGACCTACCCTGTTGAGAACGACGTGCGAGTCGCCGCTTGTGCTTATTAGTCATGGTTCCTGATCAATGAGTATTTTCCCGCGACGACTGCCAAACTGGGTCAACCGGGCTAGTTGGCCGGGGGTGGGAATCTGCCATCTCACACATTGCTGTCCATCTTTCTCATCGTATACCAGAGTACCGCTGCTACTGTTGCTATTCCAACACTCAGTACACCATCTATCCACAAAATATCATGCATTTGACGAGCCGTTCGTCACCAATGCCCGACAAGAATCAGGGTCATATGGTATGACAAAGGCAGCACAGGCAGGGAAAGATCATGGCGTGGAGAGCGGATGTGTTTGAGTATGTGGTTAAATTGTCCTCTGAAAAGGCCTTTACTCCTGCCTATCGAATGTGCACCCAACAGGGGCGGATGGTACAGAGGTGATTGTGTGGGAGCGCAATCGGTTAAGAAATCGGCCCGCCCAGGCCCACCCAAATAAGGCTTGGTGCCTCCCGATCACGATGACCAATCAATCCTGACGGATCACCATCACATTACAGTGACCTCAGATTTGCGTCACACCGGCATTAGACATCCCTCTTTCATCCTACATACACGAAATGCCTGGAAAATCAAGGGTTCATGTTAAATAATCGAAGTGGCCAACTAGGTAGGGTGGCCAACTAGACCCTCACATACAGTAACACTTGTTCCATTTGTCACAATAACTCCTTACATAGAATGGCACTAGAAGAATTACATGATTTCCCCCCTGGCAGGAGGCTCATCACAAGTGCCTTATGTTACCTAGCGGAGTTTGAAGCTACCTCGCGGATCAGATGCACCAAATTAGAGGACATAGTCTGCAATATGATTGCCCTGCCGAATCTCTGATTTCAGCCATTTTTTCACATATCGGTCCGTCAGAACTGACCATAAATGAAATATTTTTGAGACATCGACAGCAGATTGGCCTGGTCGTACCTCCACTTGCACCTCCTCCGAGGCCAGTAGCTATATACTGAGTTCATATTTCAAGACAAGGGCAGGGGATTTCCCCTGAAAGCGGCACAAGCCGAAGGGCTCGAGCGCACCGCCATCAACGACGAGCACGCTTATGACGTCGGGAACGGTCATCAGAGACTTCCAATAAGCATATACACGTCCTCGAGTCACGGAGTGCCAGGACCCCAGCACACCCGATCGATCTATCAGTCGAAACAGACCATGTCCTTTGTCGTCGACCTTAGGCCCATCAGGATGGTGCATCATGCACATCAAAACTGGAATGATTGACGTTTATCACACACACAGTTGAGACCTCGGCGGAAATCCCTGATCTCTCACTGTAAGTAAAAGTAAATCTGGGCTACGTGCATGCAACCTGACAGAACTCATGCCCCGTGAAATCGGACTTCCTCTGATTCATCAATTAACTACTGACCCTTTCAAGCACAAAATGTCTAGCACGTAAGATAGGCGTCATGCAGAACCATCAAGTCACGTGTGCGTGACTTGATGGGTGACATGTAACGTGGGAAACGCGAAATTCTGGCGGTCCGAATTCACTTTGAGTATTTCTGAATGGAAGGTGTATTAGAGACTCTAATTCGACAATTTTCGCTTTTCTAAGTGCTCTAAGTACTGGGGAGGAAGAGTCTGATGGCCTCTATACTTTTTATTGGCCCATGCTGCCTCTGCGCCATTCAACCCATGGTGATAGCCATCTGCGAAACGTAAAGATCTTGTTGCGAAGCGTTGCATTGAATCAATGGGAACTGATTCAAGCGCACTGATGACATTAGCCTCTAAATCATCCTCGTTAGTTGTCCGAGGATACATTCGATAGATGCGTTTTGCATAACCCCAGCATTGCTCAATGAAATTGAGCTCCGGGTGATATTTGGGGAAGAATATGACTTCATAGCCACGTTTCATGCAATGCTCTTCAAGCATTCCCATCTGTGCCTTGAAATCAGGCTCGCAATACAAGACTTTCTTCATGCAACAGTTGATGGAGGGCGTGTTTCGACAGCCGAAGCTCAGACATTTGCCCCTCATTTTCCGGCCGTTAGCAAGGCGTGCATCCGGATCAGGGAGATCATGTCCCATGGCACGACGTTCAATAATCAGCTGCTTCATTCCTTTGAAGGATCCATCAGGCAGATAAAGACACTGTGCGTGTCCCATTTTGAAACGCGCATCTTGCATCCGAACCTGTGTCTGTACGCCGTTGACCTTGGTTTTGTTGAAGTTTTTTGACGGCCCAACAGTCATGTGCAGCGCTGAAAGTCCATCCGGGGCACGGGCGGTGTGAATACGGGCATTATCATATGCGAAGACGTGATGTTCGTCCCGATACTCTTTGTCAAGCACATTCATCGCCTTCGTTGCTTGAGCGAGAATCAATTCAATGGTCTGGTATCCATCTCTATTCTTGCCGGGACGGAGAACCACTCTGGCGCTGTCAAATGATCTGCGAGGCATGATGGATCAATACTTGCTTTGTTGCCTTGCTCTCAGGAACGGACATACCCATCTGCGTTTGGTGTCTTTGCCCGCATCCAGCCGCGGTCAGGACAGACATAGTCACCAACCATTATGCTTTTCCCCTCTCCCTTAGCCTTGATTGTGGGTGTTTCCGAGTTCCCAACCCACCGAATCTGCCTCTGATCGTTGCCATAGAAGATTGACTCGTCATGGCACCAAATCACCACCACCCTCGCGTCCTCAGAGTCGCTAAGGTATGCACACAGTTCGGCATCCACATCAATTGTCTTTTGACTGTGTGTTTCAATCCACCATCGGGCGCGCGAGTGAAGATGCCTCCATCGAGGCAAGAAGACATTTTGCCAATAATGGACGATGTCCTCGCGTTCATGGCCGTCCGAATACATGCCAGAGGGTTCCTTCCTCCAACGGTAACCCATTTTTTTCATCCACCGTTGCGCGGTCCGGACGCTGATATTCCGCTTGATTTGCAGTCGCGCTTGGAACTCGGGTGTGGCCACATATCGAGCAATGTCTTTCGCTGACACCCACTTGCCGAGTGATTGCAAATGCTGATGGATACTGCCAGCAACGTCCTCGTCGGTAAGAACACAAGAGTTATGCTGCCCCAAAAGGTGTGTCGGAAGCTTCCGAACCTTCTCATTCTCACAAAAGTCGATGGCCCATTCACGCAGCTTTCGAGCAAGCCAGGTCTTCCTTCCCCGTTTGCCAGCCGTTGTGGCAATGGTTTCGGAGTGCAGACTCCAGGCAGCATACCCGGACGTGCGATAAAGTCGAAGGAATCGGAGAACACACTCGAGTCGAGTGTGGGTCACAAGATCAAGCTTCGATTTTGTGTGGCCAGGGCCCTTGGCACGTCGAGGACGAACCAATTCTTGCATCTCGGGGATGGCCCGATTGACAGCATCGTTTGAAGGGATTGGCCGCGGAACCTTCTTTGCGGTGCACTCTGGGAGCACGAATTCCTGCAGTGGCAATTCGAATTCACCTCCCTCGGGTAGTCTTTCCTCCACTGGATCCCAAGGCAAGTCCTCGAGACCCTCCTCAGCCAACTCGTCGTTACTGAGAATTGCAGGTTGTGCAGTGATGGTGCACCCGAAAACGTCTTCCTCACCCTCGTGCATGGGAACTGGGTCCGAATCCTCGCTAACGGTGTCCAATACATTGCCATCTGCTTCGGAGTCCGCGCCATCTGCTTCGGATTCAGCGCCATCTGCTTTGGATTCAGCGCCATCTGCTTTGGATTCAGCGCCATCTGCTTCGGAGTCCAGGACTGAGGGAGGTTCATGCCACTGCTCCATTGGTGAGTCTGCACAATCCGAGTCCACGGAGACCATTGATATCTCTCCTGGTGAGGGAGACCGTGCGCGTTTTTGGAAGAAATCCAGGAGATTCGTGCTCTTCAATCCCAGTCGACGATCTTCAGCCCGTTCTCGGGCTTCTTGTTCTCGGGCTTTCTTATGCAGTTCTTGCTGTTGTCAGGGGAACCCCTGCTTTCGTCCAATCATCATGGGATCTCGCATGTGACCGCGCACGTGCCATCTGTCAAGCGTCACATGCTTCGGTCCGGACTTCCCTGCCAAGCACGTCCACATGACACTCCGGCCCAGACCCCCATTGTCCCGACGGTCCGGCTCCCATTGTTCCCCCCGATCCGGCCCCTCATTGTCCCCTGGCCCCATTGTCTGGCGCTTCCATTGTGCTTGGTCATCCATTGTTCTGTAGGCTATATATAGTGGGCCCTGACAAGGAGAGTCCCCAACTCGGTTTCTCTTTGGACTCTCCCTTGTCAGGTTTGCCAGTCTCCTGTACTAGTCGATCCTCTTATCTGACGCTTTGGACTCTCCCTTGTCAGGACTCTGAGATCGGGCCTCGAGGTTGCCCTTACAGCAGAAACCGAGTTCCTAGGGATAACTGGACAAGCTTGTGAAGACCGCCGATAGCGTCATACGCCTCTCACTTCCAATCTTGTCCCCTCTTCCCCCTCTACGATCATCATGTCCTACATGGAAGAAGAAGACCACGGGTCCTCCCCTGAGCAGCGACTTGGTAATCTAGAGGAAGCCATGCAGCGAATAGAGGGACTCCTCAACAACTTCATAATCGAACAGCAACAGCCTGCCCCTGTCCCTGCCCCGTCTCCGGCAGTGGGTCCAGGTGTATTTACTGGCCAACAGGCCAGCTCGAGACCCCTCATCCGCCCCAACCCCCCATTCGCGTTTGACGGAGATCGCACCCAGGGCAAGACGTTTCTCCATTCCGTCAAGCAGTACTGGCGCCTCCTCCCTGAGGCCTTCCATGTGAACGGGGTAGTATCAGAAGAGCGGGTGGTACGTTTCGCCCTCTCCTACATGTCCAAGGACTCGGCGGCCTCCTGGTCAGAACGCATGTCAGAGCGCCTCGTCTTCCCATTTCCGACCTGGTCCTCCTTTGTGGCCGAATTCAAGCTCCGGTTTGTCGAGGAGAACGAGCAAGACCATGCCCTGGCACGACTGGAGACCCACGCTTACTACATGGGATCCCGCGACGTGTTCAAATACACGGACGAGTTCGACGACCTTCTCGACTTGGCGGGTTACTCTGACAACTTGGTCAAGGTCACCAAGTACCGGGCGGGTCTGGACCCCAGAATCAATCAGGCGATCACGACCTCCGGTAACCCGCCTAGCCTCACAAACTACTCGGAGTGGCGTACCCGCGCATTCCACCAGTACAACGCCGAGGTGGCTGCCCGAGCTGCACGAGGACAGGTGTTCTCTCCATCCCGCGCTCCGCCTCCTGCGGCCCCCCGCCCTCGCCCCATGGCTCTTCCGGTGGTCGCCCCACCCCCTGTTCCCCGACCAGCCCCGGTAGTCCTCCCACCGGGCATTCCCATGGATATCGACCGAACCCGAGCCCGCAGCAGTGTTCGTCGCACATGCTTCCGGTGCGGCAGCCCGGGACATCTGGCCCGAGACTGCCCGACCCCCGCTGATGTCCGGCACACTGACGTCCTGGACGAAGTGATCAATCAGCTGGGAAGCGACTTATTGGCGGAATTAGTAGCCTGGCTAGCAACCACAGCGGCCGTAGAAGAGCATGAAGCGGAGATCGCCGACGAGTCGGAGCAGGGTTTTCTCCCCCGCGACAAGTGAATAGTACGCCCTCGATCGCCTCACGTAATCGTTTCGAATGTCTGTATGATGAATGCGACCTCATTTCCCCCACAAACGAAACGGTAGACGTACCTCTTGCCCCCCGCTCAGTCCCGCTGGTCCGCAAGGAAAAGTGGGAACGAAAACTCCCTCAGCGCTATGTAGTTGCGGCCTCCCCTGGCGCCAACTCCCTGCACCTCCCCCTGGAGATCCAGTCCACCGACAACGCAGTCCAGCTCTCTCTCAACGGACTGGTCGACTGCGGCGCCACGTCGGACTTCATCGACTCCACCTACGCCTCTGAAAACCGACTTCCGGTCCGGCAGCTCTCCCAGCCTATCCCAGTCTACAATGTGGACGGCACGCCAAACGAAGCTGGCTCCATTCGACAAGTCGCCGATGTGGTCCTGCGTTACCAAGGACACAGTGAGCGGGTCCAGCTTGCTGTCACTCGGCTCGGCAAGCAGAAGCTGATCCTCGGCTACTCTTGGCTTCGGAAGCACAACCCGGAAATTAACTGGGACACGCAGGAAGTAAAGATGAGCCGCTGCCCGTCCGGCTGCTCCACCTGCACCGAGGAGTCTCGCCAAGAGAGACGGATAGCCCGAATTTCGGCCCGAGCACTCCGGTCAGCCCGACAAGGCCCCGCCCCCTCCATCTGCGTCGTCGACATGGAAGACCGCGAAGACGAGGCTATGCCACTGCTCCAGGAAGACGACGGAGAAGATTCCGATGAAGAGGAAGACTGTCTGGAAACTGGTGACTGTATCTTCTACACCCGTTTCAACCCTTCTGAAAACATCCGAGCCACTAGCACCGTCTCCCAGCGTCTTGCAGAGGTGTTTGCCAAGAACTCCGCCCCCTCTCGAGATTCCATACCCGAGTGGGCGCGCGAGTTCGAGGATGTTTTCAGCAAGGAATCCTTCGACAATCTTCCGGAACGTCGCCCTTGGGACCACGCCATCGAACTGGTGCCCGATGCAAAGCCAACAAACTGCAAGGTCTACCCTATCTCCCCCTTGGAGCAGAAGCAGCTCGACGCTTTCATTGAAGAAGGCATGGCCACCGGCCGAATCCGACCCTCGAAGTCCCCCATGGCCTCCCCCGTCTTCTTTGTCAAGAAGAAGGATGGCAGCCTACGGTTTGTCCAGGATTACCGGGCACTGAATGCAATGACAGTGAAGAATCGGTACCCCCTCCCCTTGATCAACGACCTGATCAACAAGCTCAAGGGTGCCCGCTTCTTCACCAAACTCGATGTTCGATGGGGCTTCAACAACGTACGGATACAAGAAGGAGACGAGTGGAAGGCTGCGTTTCGGACCAACCGTGGGCTCTTCGAGCCACTGGTGATGTATTTCGGCCTTACCAACTCCCCTGCGACGTTCCAGACCATGATGAATGACATCCTCCAGGACCTCATCCTCTCGGGCGACGTCATGGTGTACCTGGACGACATCCTCATTGCTCACTCCGATCCTCACCTCCATCGTCGTATTGTGAACGAAGTCCTCCGGCGCCTCCGCAAAAACAAGTTGTACCTCCGAGCCAAGAAGTGCGAATTCGAGATGGAGTCCATCGAGTACCTCGGCGTGATCATCTCCCACAACCACGTCGAGATGGACCCCGTCAAAGTGGCAGGCGTGGCCGAATGGCCGGCCCCCTCTAACAAGAAGGAAGTGCAGCAGTTCCTTGGGTTCACTAACTTCTACCGGAGGTTTATCCGGGACTTCTTGCACGTTGCACGCCCGCTCTTTGACCTCACCAAGAAGGACGTACCATGGTCTTGGGGCGACAACGAGTCCACTTCGTTCCAGGCCTTGAAGGATGCAGTTACCTCTACGCCGGTTCTTCTCCTCCCAGACTCCTCCCGTCCTTATCGCCTAGAGGCTGACAGCTCCGATTTTGCCACAGGAGCCGTCATCTCGCAGCAGTCCCCCTCAGACGACAAGTGGCACCCAGTCGCCTTCTTCTCCAAAAGCCTTAACGACGTCCAGCGCAACTACGAGATCCACGACAAAGAGATGCTCGCGATTGTGCGTGCGCTGGAGGAGTGGCGGCACTTCTTGGAGGGCGCCGAGTACCCGGTGGAGATCTGGACCAATCACAAGAACCTGGAGTACTTCCGCAAGGCCCAGAACCTCAATCGCCGGCAAGCCCGATGGTCGCTCTACCTATCCCGCTTCGACTTCACGCTCCACCACCAACCCGGCCGGCTCATGGGACGACCAGACGCACTCTCCCGATGCCCGGACCACGGAGCCCCTTCGGACAACACAGACGTTACCCTGTTGAAACCGGAACTGTTCCATGTGCGAGCACTCGAAGGACTGTCCGTCTCTGGCCCGGAAGCCCCGCTTGTCCACGACATTCGGGAATCGCTCTCCGGTGACCCTGACCTTGAGGAAGAACTTGCGCTTATAGCGCGACGGCTTCTGAAAGGGATGAAGGGGGCCCGCTCCGCTGTAGCAGCGGAATGGCGCATCCAGGACGGCCTCCTCTACTTCCGTGGGAAGCTGGTGGTCCCGCGTGACAAAGACCTACGGCGACGCATCCTTGAGCAACATCATGACACCCGCGTTGCGGGGCATGCTGGCCGCTTCAAGACGCTGGAGCTGGTCTCCCGGAACTACTGGTGGCCCCAGCTCTCACGACATGTTGGCCGGTACGTGGCCACCTGCGACCTGTGCTGTCGGACCAAGGCCCTCCGACGACTCCCCACCGGAGAGCTTCACCCCACGGAGATCCCCTCGGAACGTTGGGAATCGGTGTCGGTGGACTTCATCGTGGAGCTGCCTGAGGCGCACGGCTACGACGCCATCATGGTGGTCGTTGATATGCTGGGGAAGCATGCCCACTTCATCGAGTGCCACACTCGCCTCTCGGCCGAAGGGATGGCTCGGTTGTTCTACAAGCATGTCTGGCGACACCACGGATTACCCATCAAATACGTCTCGGACCGTGGCCCTCAGTTTGTGGCAGACTTCACCCAAGAGCTATGGAAGCTGGTTGGCGTCTCCCCTGCCACGTCCACCGCTTACCACCCGCAGACTGACGGCCAGACCGAACGGGTCAACCAGGAGTTGGAGCAGTACCTCCGGATCTTCACCAGCTACAAGCAGGACGACTGGGATGAACTCTTGCCCGCAGCTGAGTTCGCCTACAACAACCACGTCCACTCCTCGACCCAGCAGGTTCCCTTCATGACGGACACAGGACGTTTACCACGCATGGGATTCGAGCCAACAGAGCAGCGCTCCACCCGAGCAGAGTCTGCCAACGAGTTTCTGGATCGGGTCGCATCGGGCGTAACCGAGGCCAAATCAGCACTGGTCAAGGCAAAGGACGAGTACAAGAGGTACTATGACCGACGAAGGACTGCCGCTCCTGACATCAAGGTTGGCAGCCGAGTCTGGCTCGACGCCTCAGACATCACAACGACGCAACCCTCTCGCGGCCTCTCCCACCGACGCCTGGGCCCCTTCAAAGTCACCCAAGTCGTAGGCCGGGGCGCATACAAGCTCGCCCTCCCCACCAGCCTCTCTCGCCTCCACCCAGTCTTCCCTGTGGTCAAGCTCCAGTTGGCTGAAGACGACCCGTTCCCCACTCGCCCGCGTCATGAGGAACCACCCCCTGTCCTGGGACAAGGCGAAGGAGAGGAGTGGGAAGTGGAGGAGATCCTAGACGCAAAGATGCGCTACCGGAGTGTCTGGTTCCGAGTACGATGGAAGGGCTACGACCCGTCTCATGACCAGTGGGTCAAGCACTCCGATGTTTTTGCTGACGACGCAGTGGCAGCGTTCTACCGCAGATACCCGGGAAAGCCACGCGTCATTGCAGCAGCTGTATTCGACTCGCTACCCTTCAGGAACTCATCGGCCCCTAACCGTACCTTGCGTTGAGGCGCCGCAATCAAGAGGGGGGGTGATGTCAGGGGAACCCCTGCTTTCGTCCGATCATCATGGGATCTCGCATGTGACCGCGCACGTGCCATCTGTCAAGCGTCACATGCTTCGGTCCGGACTTCCCTGCCAAGCGCGTCCACATGACACTCCGGCCCGCACCCCCATTGTTCCGACGGTCCGGCTCCCATTGTTCCCCCCGATCCGGCCCCTCATCGTCCCCTGGCCCCATTGTCTGGCGCTTCCATTGTGCTTGGTCATCCATTGTTCTGTAGGCTATATATAGTGGGCCCTGACAAGGAGAGTCCCCAACTCGGTTTCTCTTTGGACTCTCCCTTGTCAGGTTTGCCAGTCTCCTGTACTAGTCGATCCCCTTATCTGACGCTTTGGACTCTCCCTTGTCAGGACTCTGAGATCGGGCCTCGAGGTTGCCCTTACAGCCACTTGACCAAGTCAGCATCGCTCTGTAGGTGCGGAACATCGTCTTCTTCGACAATCTCAAGGTCTGAGTCGTCCTCCTCAGATTCCTCCTCAGCCTCTCCTTCACTCTCCCCTTCTCCAGGTTGTTGGGATAGTGAGTCTTGGGTGGCACATTTTTGCGACGGTTCATCGCAATCGCTGTCCGAATGATCTGGTTTCTTGCGCTGGGTTAGATGAGCATCAGAAATGGGTTGATTTGGTGGGCATTACCTTAGCAGCATGAGATCCGAGGTTGCTGATGTTGCGTTTCTTCAATCTGGGCATGGCTCAATGAGTTTTAATTTTTGCAATGAAGATTAGCGCGCGCTTAGCAGCACACGTGACATGCACGTGATCGTTATCAGGGTTAGGGTTTCCCTTTTGGGAGGCGCGAAAATTTGATTTGCTTTTTCGCAAACGTGCTGAGCTGCACAAAAAATCACTTCTAAACATTTTCACAATGTATACCCTTAAACTTTTTTCTGAAGAGAAATGGATTAAATCCAAGACCACAGAGTCCTTCTAATAGGTCGCCCCTACGCATCTGTGGTCTCACTTATGAGGATAATGAGAGTGTGAAGGCGGAGTAGCGTCGGGCGTCGGTGTCACGCCATCAGATCACATGACTTGATGGTTCTGCATGACGCCTATCTTACATGGCGCGACTTTTGGGCTGTTCATTCTGACTTGACTGAACTGTGACAAGATTGACTCAGGAGGCTTCGGGGAGTCTTTTACCGACGCTAGGACGGCGAACTCGGACACAGGGTACATTCATCTACAGTACCCCAGAACCAGTATTCCCAGGACCGTCTGGAAGGCAAACCCCGATCACTGATCCCTGAATCATGTCAGCAAGACGTCATTCACCGAAAATTGACCGTGTGCTAGAAGCGTGCCAAGTTTACTCTTACTTTGACTACCGACATACACGAGGACGATTGACGCTGCAAGATAGACAACGACACACGCACGATACCACTTGTCGTAAAGGACGACCGGGGACGAGCAATTCGCGCTAGGCAGCACGCCACAATACATCAAGTAGATCCCATATCCTACGAGCTACTTCATGCTACCCAATCGGCCCGTATCTGTGCCTCCCGCACTCGAAGTGCGGGCTAAAGCCGCGAATGGAAAGCATACAGAACCCCTTAACTCACTCGAGCCTCCAAATAGGCCATCGTCGACGCAAGCCGTGACCATGCCATCCTCGACATCCCTCCCCATCACCCCACCATCGGGCACACCCTCTCCGCCCTCGCTCTCCCTGCTCCCGTCCCTCGACCATGCACTGCCCTCGGTCGTCAACAGCCGCAGCGGCTCCGTGCTCGCCCGCGGCTTCATCCTCAAGACGGACCACTACCCCTCCGGCCGCGCGCTCGATCTGGCCGTGAATGTGCACGGGGCGCCGAACTTCCGCGTCGGGGGCGGCGGGGAGTGGGCCGAGCTGAATGTGTACGGCGTGGCGCAGCCGCGGACGCAGGGCCTGCGCGCGATCCTGTCGATCCTCCGCGCTGCGCCCGGACAGGCCCCGTCGGCCCCCGACGCGCCCTCGCGCGTGGTTTGGTTCTCGACGCGCGAGGAACCGGTTTTGTATATCTCCGGACGCCCGTTTGTGCTGCGCGATGCGGCTGCACCGCGGCGGACGCTGACGCTCTCGGACCGCGCTGCGAACTTGGAGGCGATCGAGCTGAGGATGAAGGCAGATGTGTTGGCGGAGGCATCTAGAGGTGGAGGCGTTGTCCTCACGCATAATGAGATTGGTGCGTTTCTCTCTCATCCCGATCACATGTCTGTTAATTTTTTGCCCCTCAGCCTCGGAATCTCCGTCAGGGACAGGCGCGATCGTGCCGACATGGACTTTCGTGGACGTGTCGAATGTCAAGACCAGCCGTGAGCTGTGGGGAGAGATGAAGGCCGCGGGCTGGTCGGTCGATGTGCGTGTGTCCATTGTCATTTTACCATCCGCTTCTAAACGCCTCATCGCCAGTACCATCGCATCCCTATTGCGCCAGATCGGCCCATCGAAGACTCTAACTATCTGGACGCCTATCTCCGTGTCATCCGAACATGCGATCCCCGCAGTACCTCACTCGTGTTCTCGTGTGGGATGGGAGCCGTGCGGACGACCTTCGCGATGGTCGCTGCGGCGGTCATGAGGAAGCGGCAGCTGGCCTTATTGGAGAACAGGATCAGCAGCACCACGCCGACGGACGACTTGGATGCCCGGCGGACGGCTGCGCTCGAACAGGCTATTGCGCAGCAGGATCTCAACCGGTCGCTGTTGCGGCTGACCCATCTCCTTCAGCAAGCATCAACGACGACGAGGGCGATCGAGCTGCTGCTGGCATATCCGACGCTTCTGGACAACCTGCGCAAAGCGCATATGGGAAACTACGGGATCGTGCTCAGTCTGCTTGGGTGTCTCGAACACGGGCCTGCCGCCAAGCGGCTGGTCGATAAGGTCATCGACGTCATGGACCAGGTTACGCACTTGCGCGAGGACATCCTGGTCCACCGATTGCGGCATGCGCTGAGGTCCGGGGGTGAAGGGCAGGAGGTCGATTCGCTGGGCAAAGCGGGTAGAGCGCTCGAGAAGTACTTCTTTTTGATCGCTTTCGCGGCTTTCCTGGAGGAACAGCCGGACGATCTGGGGGGCTCGTTCGGGGATTGGGTCAAAGGGCGGATCGAGATATCCAAGTGCGTCCGCGCTCTTACTTGGCCTTCGAACGATGCTCACTATCACCAGCCAGATCAAGTTCTTACGCAAGTCGACCGACTCGAAGCTAAACGTGTTTGCGCCGATCAATGACCTTTCAGTACTCTCAAAGCGTCATGGGGAGCTCGACCGTGCGATGGTTCCCGGACGCAAGAACGATCTTGCCATATCCGGTGGACAGATCCTAGGCGATGAATATGCTAGCCACGTCGTCAGCAATCGAGGCGGCATCGTGCTGCGTCAGGGGTGCGCGCGTTCTCCTGTGTTTCTTTGCCTTCAATCTAAAGCAATATAGCACGATCCTCAAGTCAGACCAGTGGCACACCGCCGACGCATCAGCGATACGGGGAGCACCGAATTTCCGGAAAGTCCCCCATGCGTCGGCCATCTATGCCCTGGGCCAACCCACTCTCTCGGCGATCCACGATGTTGTGCATGCCGCATCGCCACAGTCGCGCGTAGTCTGGATCACGCTGCGCGAGGAGCCCATCGTCTATGTCAATGGCTCGCCGTACTGTCTGAGACGCGAGGGCCGCTTCTCGTTGCGCAACATGAAGGACTACGGCGGCATCTCGGCGGGGCGGCTGGAGATGCTCGAAGAGCGTCTCAGAGACGATATCCTGGCTGAGATCCGGGCCTTCGGGGGACGGTGGGTCTCTTCATTCGTTCTTCGTGACTGCGATCTTACAACGCACAGGCTACTGCTGCACACCGAATCCGCGGCCGGGACGATCCTGCCGGTGTGGGAAGACATCGCCGACCCCGCGCAAGACGTCCTCGTGCTCAAAGACATCATGGCGCGTGCCCACCCGGGGATCTCGTACCACCGCATCCCCATCACCGCCGAGCGGCCGCCGGATCCGGCCGATCTGCAGGACATCCTCGACGTCGTGCTGGGCGTGTCGCCGGAGACGCCGATCGTGGTCAACTGCCAGCTGGGCCGCGGGCGGAGCACACTCGCCTCCATCATCGTGATGCTCGTGCGCGACTGGCTCGCGTCGTACCGCGTGCTGCAGACGCCGACGACACCGCTGTTCCCTGCGGCGGCGGCGGACGACGCGGCCGCGCGCCCGCGGCACTCGTACCAGGTCATCAACAACCTGCTCCGGGTTTTGCGCGCGGGGCTGCGGATCAAGGCGTGCGTGGACGGCGCGATCGACCGCGCGGACCAGGTCGTGAATCTGCGGCTCGCGATCGAGGAGTGCCGGATCCGCGCGGACGAGGCGAGCGCGGACGAATCGGAGAGCAGGGCCTGGGCGCAACGGGGTGCGTCGTCGTTTCCATTCCCGTCGTCGAGAGTACTGTGTACTGAACTGATTCCGCGCAACAAGGCCTGCAGAACCTGCACCGGTACTTCTCGCTGCTCGTGTTCCAGGCGTACCTGCAGTCCGCGCAGCCGGACACGCTGGCGCGCGGCGGCGTGCAGCGCTTCGTCGAGAGCCTGCCGGTGCTCCGGACGTTCGAGAGCGAGCTGTTCACCGCGCCGTCCGCGCACACGCTGACGCCGCTGAGCCCACCCGGCGGGCTGGCGCACCCGGACGAGGTCGCGGCGCTGGTGGCGAGCCGCGCGGGCGGGGTGCTCAGCGCGGCGACGATCCTGAAGGACGATATGTTCTTGGGGCTGCAGAAGCTGACGCTGGTGGAGCGGATCCAGGGCGCGCCGAATTTTAGGACGGTGCCGCTCGTGCTGGGGTCGGTGGATGCGAGGATGGTGTGTGGGAGCGGGATGCCGACCGTCGAGGGGCTGCATAATGTGCTCACGCGCTTGGATGCGGGGCCTGGGGCGGGCAAGAGGGTGTTCTGGACATCGCTGCGGGAGGTGTGTCCATGATCCGTTGATCCTGGTTGGATTGGCTGATGATGATGATGGCATAGGAACCCGTGGTCTACATCGCCGGCCGGCCATATGTGTTGAGGCTGGCGACCAATCCACTGGAGAATGTCGAGTACGTGGCTGCGCTCTTGTCATTGACGTAGTCTCACACAACCTACACCAGAGCCACGGGCGTCACCACGTCCATGGTCGAGCGCATGGAAGAGACCTTCAAAGCCGACGTGCTGCGCGAGGTGCGCTCCTCGCGGCTGCTGCAGTCCCCGCCCGCCGCGCTCGGCCGCATCCTGGTGCACGACGAGATCGAGCTCGACCACCCGGGGTCGTTCGCGGTCGTGCCGCAGTGGAAGGACGTCGCCGAGTCCGAGGTGCTGACGCCGCGCGACGTGTTCGAGCGGATGCAGCAGGAGGGCTACGGGATCGACTACGGGCGCGTTGCCGTGGTGCGTTTGTCCGCATGGCATTCTCTGTTTCCCCTCCTCGTTTGTGTGTCGACTGACTGTTGGGCTTGGACAGACGGACGAGCAGGCGCCGCTGCCCGACGCGCTGTCGCAGCTGCACGCGCGCGTGAGCCAGGCGCTGGAGGCGGACGGCGAGCTGGTGTTCAACTGTCAGATGGGCCGCGGGCGGACCACCACCGGCATGGTCGCCGCGTGCCTCGTCGCGAGCGTCTCTGCAGGGACGTTCGCGGCGGGCGCAGCCGTGGACCCTGCGGACCCGGCGTCTTCCGGGGCGAGCGGCGGGTGGGACGCGATGGACGGGCCGTCGGAGGAGGAGGTGTACCAGCAGCGCGGCGAGTACAAGATGATCCTGCAGCTCGTGGGCGTGCTCGAGCACGGGCTGGTGGCGAAGCAGCTCGCGGACCGCGCGATCGATGCGATGCAGGATGTGCAGAATCTGCGCCGCGCGATATACGAGTGCGTTGGCCCGTTTCTGTTTCCCTTGTCTGGATATATGCTTACTCAACACTGCTCGCCAGCTACAAACTGAAGCTCGCGACGCAGCCGCCGGATTCGCCTGCCGCGAAGAAGCTGTATGCGGTGACGACGAACTACCTGTTCCGATACGGCACGTTGATCGTGTTTGCCAATTTCTTGGTTGGCCAGCAACACGGTGAGCCCAGGCGGAGCTTCAGCGAGTGGCTGAAGGAGCATCGGGAGGTGGGCGGGGTCCTCAGGCGGCGGGGACTGGACTAGCTGGATCGATGGATATATATATATGTATATATGTATACACTTACTGCATCTGTTGTCATTTTCTCGTACTTACAGCTCATTACATACTCCCCAACTTACACAGCTTTCGTCACGCTGCTGCCCGCGAGCCCCCCACTCGGCAACGTAAACGTGACAGTCTTCGCTGCCGCGCCCGCATCAGTGACCGTGACTGCGAGCACAGCCAGCGTCTGCGTCGGGTCCGACACGGTCATCTGCCGGCTCGCGTGGTCAAACACCACCGCCGCGGTGCCGTTCGCCGCGAGCACGAAGCCGGCGGGCGACCCGGCCGTGAACGCCACCGACCCGGGCGCCCAGAACACCGCCATCGCGACGGAGCCCGCGAGCACCGCCGCGGCCGTGTTGTCGTTCCGCACCACCACGGGCTGCGCCTGGCCCAGTCTCGTGCGGAACGTGGGCAGATCGAGCGCGGGGTAGACCGTATACGCGACGGACGAGGACGAGGACGTGTCGTGGTTCACCCACGCGGCGAAGAGGTCGACTGTCGTCGGGGGCTGCGGGGACGTCCCGATCGCGGCCCAGTCGCCCGTTTTCTGGCCGACCTGGACCGACACCGATGCGCCGCCGCCGCTGCCGAAGACGTACCCGACGTTGCCGTGCCACAGCGATGCGGCGCGCACGCCGGTCGCGTTCGAGACGGCCGTGGACCCGTTGAGGACGACCTGCCCCGCGTGCAGCCGCTGGTCGAGCACGGAGCGCACGGGCGCGCCCGTCGCGGAGCTGATATTCGACACTACGACGACCTGCACGTCGCCGGGGAGGAAGAACCACGCCTTCTGCCAGTGCAGGGTGCGCGTGAGCGGGTTCGTGTAGCGCATCGCGGCGGCGCCTTTCGTGCCGTCCGACGCGCCGCCGACGAAGCCCTCGATGCCCGCGGCGCCGGTCTGGCCGCAGTTCAGCGGCGTCGCGCCGTAGTCGACCGTGATCCCCGGGATGAGCTCCCAGTCCTGCCGAGCGACGGATCAAACCGCTGGGCTCGTAATGGAATGTATCCGACGCACCATCGACGCCGCGATATCCTCGTACTCGTTGCCCTCGATATACGTCCGCAGCGCGCCGTCGGACAGGTGGAACCCGAGCGGATTCGCGAGGTTCGTGCACTCCGTGTTCCGCGTGCGCGACGAGTACATCTTGAGCGTGCTCACGTACCCCGCGCCGCGATGCACCATGTAGTCGTTGTCGAAGAACATCCGGTTGCCGACGAGGCTCCCCGCGTTCGCGCTGCTCGAGCCCTGCGACAGCGACGAGGAGAAGTCCGTCAGCGCGGCGGAGCCCCACTCGGCGCCGAGCTGCTCGATCTTGGTCAGGTTGAGCAGGATGCTGCTCGTCGCTCTGGATCGGGGCACGGATCAGCGGCGTCCGGGAAAGTCTATGCACCAGCCACGCACTGCAGGACATCCGCGGTGGGGAACGCGATGAACCGGCCGAGAACCGACTGTGCTCCGTCATGAGGCCCGCGCCCAGAGAGACCATGTCACGCGCACTCACGAAATCCCAGTGTAGCACCCCGGTCAACACGTTCCGGTAGATCATCCACCGATCACCGGTAAAGAGCGTCCCCAATGCAGCCTTGGACGTGGAACTGGCCTCGAACTGCGTCCCGCCCGCTTCCACCTCGAGGTCGACCAGATCGTTCGTGTAGTCCTTGCCGTAGTTGCCGTTGTACAGAATCCCCGAATGCTGGATGCCAAGTCAGGTCAGGTCAGGCGGCGGAGGGTGATGCTGCTGATAAACGCGCACCTGACCAAACCCTCCGTCAGGCCGGATCCCATCGCTCCGGGTCGCGTTCTTGATACTCAGCTCTGCGTGCACGCGGCTGTACGCGTCCGTGAGCAGCGTCGTGTTCGCCGTCAGCAGCGCCAGGTCGATCCCGATCTACGCAAGTTCCAGTGCGCGCCTTACCTCATGCTCGCGAGCGCGCGAATCACACTCACCTTGGCGACATCGAGCAGGTTCGCTCCGGTCAGCACGCCGACCTGTCATCGTGTGTTGTGGGCGATGGGACGAATGGATGAAAGAAGGGCACGGCACGGGAAGCGTACCTGATTGGCAGGCACCGTGAATGTCCGGTACGCGCGCGCGGTGATCGTCTTGCAGCTGCCCAGCTCCGCCGCGGAGAGCGTGCTGTTCAGCAGCAGGCACGTCTGCGACACGAGCTCGGGCGTGCCGATGATGTTCGGGAACCAGTTCTGCCAGCGCCCGCGTCCGTCAGCGTCAACGCGCCGCCGTCCGGCCCAGCGAAACGGCACGCACCGTGTTCCAGAACCCCGGCGTCCCGCACGGACACGCCGTGCCCCCGCCCGAGTCCAGACACGCAGGCACCGTAAAGTCGTTGGCGAACCAAAAGTCCATCGCGCTGCGCACGCCCGCGCGCAGGGCCGCGCTCCCCGCGAGCGACGCCGCCGCCCCGGGCACGCCGCCGTGCCACGCGCCGGCCATCGTAGCTGCCGTGCGCCGTCGTCAGCAACGAAACGCGGTTCCCACGGCGGAAGGAGGGAGAGGGGACCCACATATCCGGTTCCAGTGCTATCGGATCGGGGTGTTAGATCGAAACAACTTGCGGAAGTAGGCCGCCAAGGAGAAGCGGAAGCGGACGCACGATTTCGGCGGGCCAGTTCGCGCGCTGTGCGGGGCACCCGGTCGTGTAGTCCACGTCCGCCCACTGCCCGCTCGCGTTCAACGTGCTCAGCCTGTCCACTAGCGTGAGAAGCCGCCGCCGCCGCCCGGGACGCCCCCACTGGCACACACACCACGTAGCACGTACCAGGTCGACACGGAGGCCCCGTCGGTGAGCTCGCCGACGATGTTGTCGAGTCTGCGCGCGGTGAGCGTCGCGATGTCTTGCGCGGTCGTGCGGGGCGCGATGTCGATGTCGATGTCGATGTCGGCTGCGGCTTGGGCCGCGCACGGGAGCACGAGCGCTGTGAGTTCCAGGAGGCCAGTCGGGATCTTCATAGTATGTAAGTATATGAGGGTGAGGGGGACGACCGGTCGGGGGATCTGAAACGGGGCCCCGAGCAGAGGCGTATCTGCTACTTATACTACTACTCGAACACACATACACGCAGATACCCAGGATATGCGGCAGATCATCAGAAACACGAGCTCGAGCGACGGCGACACAGGATCGGGTGACCGACCGTCCGTGGAACAAGGCAACATTAGGATTGGATCATGGGTGCGCGAAGAGCTATTTCATGCCGCTGCCGCTGCTGCTTCTTCTCGTCAGTAGATCGTCCGAGGCGGGCCCTCCCGGGTGGAGATCTCTCTGCGCCAGATGATCATGATAGTATACACGCATATAGCCAGATAGAGATCAGAGACAGTACCACCCGCCAGATGTCGAGAAGACGCCGCTGCACCTGGTGACCGTCCTGGACAGTCGTTGAGATCCTACCCATCATGTCATCAACTGATGTCCTGGAGCATGTCTTATGTAATGTAAGAGCCCAAGATCTACTACTACTCATACACTGGTATTACAACCACATACGATATCACTACTTTTCCAACAACACACATACATACAAGAATCACGACAGATCGAACCCGGCATTCGCGGTGATAGCCTGCAGCAGCTTGGTCCGCAACGTGCTCTCGCTAGTGTACCTGGGGAGCTTTCAAAAAGAAAAAAAGAAAAACACGCGTCGTCAGCCCAACCAGGAACGCAGCACACCAGCAGACCAGCAAACCAAACACACCTTGAGCAGATTCACACACGTGCTCGACGTCGGCAGACGGAGCTGGTCCGGCCCCGCGTCCCGGATAGCAAAGTGGGGAACGAGCTCCTTGAAGCCGCTGTAGCGAGGTCTCCATTCAGCAAGGGGCCGGCCCCGCGTCCCTTCCAAATTCGAGATCACTCACAGAAGCGGCGGCCGACTGCAACTCGTCACGAACCGCAGGAGGGCCCTCCGTTGTTCCTGGTTGAAAGAGTGCACGACCTATGTATGGCACCCGACATCAGCGGCGGCAGACAGGCAGCATACGGCAGAGGGCTGGACTCGCCTTCCAGAACGACACGATTGTCGCGTCATTGGGGTCGTACAAGCCACCGTATTGCGTGTGGCCCTGCAGGTCGTCCAGATCCACAGGCGAGTCGGTTCCGCCGATAAGCACCTGCAGCTCCTGCTGATTGAACATCCTGCCCGCAAGAGCATCATCAGTCACAGCTCCAAGTCCACTACTGGGGATGGCACTACTGACCTGAGCCACTTGTGGTCGATGATCTCAGACAAGCCCTCGAAGAACGCCTCGCTCTGGTGCTTGATCTGCCTGCTCAGCCGGTAGTGCGACACCAGGTGGATGTACTGCAGCCGGTTCTCCTTCGTCACGGCGATGTTGCTGCCGTTCGGGATCAGATCCACGCTCTTGGTCACTCCAAAGTCTGTCGGAGACGACTGAGCTCGTAGGATAGAGCACGAGGACAGACACGCGCGCACGTACCTTCGACGGCGACAGCAAAGTTCAACGACAGGTCTTCTGGGTTGCCTGTGTAGTGTTTCAGGAATACCAGGCCGTTGTACAGCTCGGGATCTAGCGACGCCAGATCGTCCAGAAAGCTCTGCTTTCCTAGCCACTAATCTCCATGGTCAGCTCCAGGAAGTTCGAAAGAGCTATCCATCCTCCCACCTTGGCCAAGAAGAACCCGGCAAACGCGATATCCACCAGAATCCCATCGTACATGGCCTTCCCAACAATCCGGCCAATGAACCGGTACCAATTCAAGCTATGCGGCTCGACGGCATACGCATGCGGATTCGGGTACAGCTCGTTCTTCTTATTCGCAAGCCACAGCCCGCGGTTCGTGTCAAACGCCTCCTTGCACAGCGACGTGAAGAACTCCTTGAACACGCCCCCGCCGTCGATGCCCGCCTCCGGCACGTCGAACTGGTCGATGAACGTGATCGCGATCTTCCCGCGCAGGTCCACGTCGCGCAGCCGGTCGAAGCCGTCCTCCGAGATGTGCGCCCGCCGCACGACCACGCGCGTCGGCGGCGTGTACGCGAGCGGCCCCGCGCGCGTGCGCCGGTCGTTCTCGATGAAGGACCGGAAAACCTGCACGCGGTTCGAGAACGGGATCGAGAACGGGATGTTGTGGAGGATCCCTAGCCGCGGGGCGAGCCGCGCGATCTGCCGCGACGTCGCTGCGCGCGCGTTGTTGGTCGTCATCTGAAGCTCTTCGAACAGCGCTGCTTCGATGAAGGACTTCATGTCGATCTGGCCTGACACAAGCCAGTGGTCCTCCGGGGTGAACGGCCGCCGAGAGCTTGTTCGTAGTCAGTAACAGTTCGTACCCAACGGAGCGACGCACTCTCTTGCATGGATCGCCAGCAAGCACTTGGTCACTCTTTCCCGCACTTCCTCCCACGTAAAGGCCAGACCCCTAGGCCCATGCGCAGCCACTAGCTCTTGGTGCCCATCATCCAATGTACCTTGATACAGCCCAAACGCAATGTCAAGCAGCAGCCGGCTGAACGTCGTCAGCTCATCCAGGCTCATCGGATTCCGGGGCACAGCCGTCGCCGTCGACGTGCCAAAGAACTCGTCATCGCCCATCGTCAGCAGCGCATGCGTGTAGAGGTCAGCCAGAAACAGCACCGCCGGCAGAGTCGTACTCGGGGGCTGATTCGATGGCAGTCCTGAGATACACGTTCAGCTCTCATAGGCACAAGTCCCACCGCTGTCAACCTACGCGTAAACTCCTGCAGGATCGCCGCAGCGTGGGCTCGGCGCACGGACCCGCGCCACAGCTCCTTGATGACCGTCACCCCGTGCCCGCCAACCATAATCGCGCCCAGCACCTCGCCGCGCTTACCCGGCCACACGCGCTCAAGCGCTAGGAACATGCGGAACAGCGCGGCGCGGCTGGCATCCGGATGCCGCTGCGTGGCCGCCAGCAGCGCGTTCAGGTGCGCAGGCGCCACGAGCGTCGCCAGCCGCTTCTGCGTCTTGGCGTCGAGCGCGGGCAGCACCACGCGCGGCGCGCTCGGCACGAATGCCGACACGACCGACACCAATGTGGTGGATGCGGATGCGGCGTGGCCGTCGTCGGAGGAGTCCGAGTCTAAATCCATGTTGACGGTGGGGGAAGCCTTGGAGGCCGAGCGCCCGTCGAACACATTCGCCGGGAGCGAGTCGAACACGACCGGCAGGAACTCGATGTACCCCGCAAGTGCGGCGGGCAGCATAGCTTTATACCGCGGGGGCGTGAACGCCGTGAGGTTCGCGACGACATGCACGCGGTCCTCGATCGAGAGCGCGTCGATGGCCGGCGGGCCGGGTGCGGCGAACGAGTTGTACGGGATGTGTGAGGAGAGGTGCGTCAGGCCGGTCAGCGGCAGCCGATTCGGCAGCAGCGGGATAATCAGGATGTTCGCGATGAAGGCGTGGAACGACTCGGTGGATGTCAGCGAGTCTGATGGTAGGGTGAAGAACGGCGCGGTGACGAGCGTTAGTATTAGAGGTAGCGAGACGGATGTTTTAGCTTCTACGGGAGGCTTCGGCGACCTTGAGCGCATCCACACTGAAGGCAGAGATAACAACTACTCACGATGGATTGTATGGATCTTGAGAGCAACGGGAAGAAACTTCGCCGGAGGAGATACAGCTGTATATTTGCACAGACCTCTCGGCCTGACGGACCCAGATTTCGGCTGACAACATCGGGACTCAAAAGCATATTCAGGACAGTCAGATGCGCAACTGCATCCTTGCTCCTGCTCCGAGATCGTTAGCCCCACTCGATACCGCGATCTCATCGCATACCTGGGCGCGGAAGAGATGGATTTCAACAACAGTGCAGCCGCCTGCCTTATGAGAACCAGCCAACTCGACGCATTCGGCCCTTTGGCAACAGCAAACAGAGCCGCTGTACCCTTGGTGAGCAATCAGCACCCACTCCCAATCGACAACTCACATTCACCCTCGGCCGACACGACCTGCGACCACCTCCTCAGCACCTCACCATTCATCTCGTTCCCCAGGACGACCAGACACCTGAGCCCCGTCAGGCCCTGCACATCGCGCTCGAACACGCCCTGCATCTGCGCCCGCGCGGCGCGCGTCGAGGCGAGGGCGCGCCACCACGCCTGGATGCGCACTGCCGCGTCGCTCCTGCGGCGCAGCTCCGAGCGCTCGAGACGCCGCGCCTTGGCCTGGTCGGTGATGGACGCGAGCGTGGACACGGACGACGCGCCGCCGAGGTTGATCTGCCGCCGTCCTTCGCTGCCGAATAGAGGGATCATGGGTGTAGCGGCTCAAGTGGGTGAGTGGGTAGGTGGGTGTGGGAGAGGACGTGCTATGCTATGCGTGCGTGCGTGCGTGCGTGGGGGCGTCAATCGAGAAATGAGATCAGACTCGACGCGCGTCTGTCTGCTCGAGCCTCGTGGCTTTGTCAGCGATCATCTAGAGTCTTCCGCGGTCTTCGAGAGAGTGGGGGTGCGTGAGGATCGTCAAGTCGGCCGCAGAGGCGTCCAGAGCTATTACATACTACATGCTGATGATTTCAGAGCAGCATGATGCTACAGTTTCTACGGGGAAGTCTAGGGGGGAGAGCTACTCTGGATGATGACGATGATGATAACCTTGAGTAAGTAAGTATATTGCATAATTGGAGCGCGCAGACGGCCCGGGATATAATATAATACATAGTAGCCGGCCGCGCATCGCTCTCAACATAGATTCACATCGCCCGAGAAGTGGACCAACGACTTCATTTCCTGGCCCTCCGGCATTTCCGGGCTCTCGTCAATGACCAGCCTCTCCTTGAGCCACTCCAGCCGCTCCCCATCCAACAGCACCCGGTTCGCTGAGCCCAGGAAGAGGCGCTGGATCGGCGCGCTGAGGGCAATGCGTGCGGCGACGAGGCTGCACAACATCGCCTGGTGTTTCTCCTGGAACTGGGCCTCGCTGAAGGACAGCGTGTCGAGGTTCGGCCACGGCATGTGCGTCGCGCTCTCCGAGTTGGGCAGCGGGACGAGGAACTCGAGCGCGTCGTCCGTGTAGAGCGAGTTCGAGCACGCGAACGCGCGCACGCCGGGGAACAGGCGCGCGATGTCGTGGTAGTCCGCGATCGAGAACGTGTTGTCGAGGAGCGTCATCGACGCGAGCACGGGGAAGCGCGAGGCGGGCGGGAGCTGCAGGAAATACGCCAGATCGCCCTCGTCAAAGTTGCACAGCCGGATCGTGTCGAGTTTGGTCGCCGTCATCGCGGACAGGATGACGTCAGCGTTGCCTCCGTTCGAGAGGGCGAGATAGCGCAGCTCGGGCAAGCGGAAGGGCAGGACGTCGATCGGCGCAGCGAGTCTTCTGTGCGGCCGCTGCGAGTGTCCGATGAACGCAAAATTGACGAGGGAGAGACATTGCTGGAGGATCTCGCATATCGACCGAAATGGAAGCGGGAATCGCTCCTCGACGAGGCAGAGCTGGGTGATGCCCGACAAGGGAAGGCGGAGCAGATTCAGTACGGGGCCGTTGAGCCGGACAGAGGACAGCAGCGGTGACCCTCCCGCAAGCGAAAGCAGAGGCTTGCCGCCGCCGGCCGCAGGATTAAACTCGGTGTCCAGCGGTGTGAAGAGAAAAGTGCGCAGCTGCGGCATATCGAACGCGCGGAAGTGCGCGCTGACGAGCGAGTCCGGGGCAACGAAGTCCGTGACGACATGCAAGCGGACGATCCGGCCCAGACACGGCCGGATGCGCGTGAGCAGCTCCGCGCTCCAAAAGTCCCTCATCAGGAACAGACAGACCCCCAGCGCGTGGCCACACGACCTCTGCAGATACACATCGAGTTTCTCCGGGGGCTCGAACGGCGACGCCGTCACCCGGGACCACAGCTCGGCGAGACGAAGCGCCGCCGCCCGCCACCGCCGGTTGACATGGGACAGCGCGATCTCGAGGGGAGGGGTCGCCGACGGGAAGGCGGCGGGGTGGGGAAATTGCCGGACGCCCGCTTGGAATATGAGCTGCAGGATGTCCTCCGGGATGCGCGCTTCGATGCACCCTAGCGAGTCGTGTGCGGCGCCATTGCAGCGCGATGCTTCCTCTTCAGCACGCATGATATTCAACCTAGGGGACCGTTCAGCACGCGTTCACTTCGACGAGATCGGCCCCGATCTCCCCACCCCAGCCAATTATCTGACCTGCACCGGCAGGATATCTACTGGGAAAACGACATGGTGGGATAGAGACGATCGATGGGATGGGATGGGATCATCTTCCATCATCGATTCAGCAGAGGATAAGAATCCGATTTGGGTCGCATGATCCGCTTGGGTTATCGCTTCCCAAAAAGGTAAGATCTCATTAGTGTGCCGATCCTTGCCGAGATCTGACATCATTGTTGAGGAAACCGTGCTGGGCCGCACTGGTACGCAAATGATGGCGAGGCCGCTGGAACGAAAGTGCCCCCGACTCCCCTGGTCTGAGTATGACATCTACGTACTACTTCACAGCTCCTCGGTCAGCCTTCGACCCTATCACGCCCAAACCTTCCTCGCAAGATCAATCGGTCCGAGATAAACTCAGCCTATCCGATTTGGCAAGCCAGATTGAGTGCCGCATCCACATCGAATCTGGTCAGAGCTCGACTTTTTCAACTTTTTTTTTTTTGGAAAACTTTGAAAAAAAAAAAACAGAAATCTTTTGAAAATGTGATGCGAACCAGGCGAGCACATTCGTTGGACAAGCTATGGTTGCGGGTATTAGGTCCTAGCTCTGATTGACGCCTGTAAAATACACAGCCTTTAGCCGGGGGTCTATTTGACCGTAATTTACCATGCTAATTAGCGGGAGGGCATACTAGAGAAAATTTGGTAATTTACCGGTAAATTAGGTGTAATTTACGCTGTAATTTACGTTTGGGTGGCCCACACGGACCATAATCCTTTCGCAGGCATTGCGTCCCCAGCATCGACATCCATTTGATCTAAATCTTCATCTTCATCAACAGCTTCCTCTTTGTCGGTGCCTGTAAGAGTAAGACTGTTGCTCGGCGCACTGTCCGACAGAATATGGATGTAATGGGTGATGTCAAAGTCGACCTGTAATTCAAAGTAATCGACGGCACTGGTGCGCAGGTCGGGCAAGCCATCATCGAGCCACGAAAGTGGATCATCTGGATGTTCGGCCTCAACAATGCCATCCATGGTCTCTGAGGTCAAGTCCGAGTTGGGCCCGGCGTTCGGCTCTTCATCCAATGAGTCATCGGCTTGTTTCATGTGAGCTGTGGCACGGATATCTCGCCAGTTGATGGTGACCGGCTTTTTGCTCCGCTTCTTGAAGTGACATAGAAGGTCAGCGAAGTCTGCGCTTAGAAAATACCACCTACCTCGACACCCATTCGATGGAAGCTGCGGACAACAAGATGATTCGACAAGGTTCCCACCTTTTGCCGATTACGGAACTTCGAGTTTAGCCATGTCACAGTGGACATGGCACGCTCATCGGGCATTGAAGTCGGGTTTGCAGAGAAGATTTTCACAGCCAGAAACTGTAAGATCTCAGTGCTATGCAGAACAGAGCACGCAGAACAGTGCTGATGCTTGGTACACACCGCGAGAACTCGGGCATCCTTATGAGCGAGCAATGGCATCCACCAATCTCGCACCATGTCAGAACGTTTCTTCTTGCGATCGAACGGCTCATCACCATCAAGATACCGCTGTATTTGTACTTCGAGCGCGGCCAGAGCCTGAACCGGTGTCAATTCCGCGAGGTATGGGTTGATCTTCCTCATCGATTCTTTTGCTTCCTTGATGGTACGGCCCGGCCGATATTCATTCCCATACTCGATCTCGAGCAGTTTTCCGAGCACCTCACCGATCCGGGAAATGAACGGGGAGCGACGTGTCACAGAGGGTTGACCATTGCGCAGATTAATGACCACGGGCTCAAGGATCAAGGGGTTGGGGTGCTGTAGGACAGAGACACCTCGAGTATCTGGGAGACATTCAGCTTACTTCAAGGTAATCATGAAACACTTCTGGCTACCGGGGTCCAAAGTAAATGCGGCAAGATACACATTTGAAGCCCTTTCGTTTTCGATAAGCTGTGTGAACCGAAAGTTGGCAATGCACCGGATAAGCTCCTTGATTGAATTCTGAATCTTGTGCACTTTGTTCGGACCGACCCCAACTTCGACAACTTTTGCGTATCTCGCCCGCACCGCCCTCTTGTCCTGAACAAAGAGATCATGCAATTGCGCTGTTACAGCCAGCCAGTAGTGATACACGTCAGCAGCTGTTACTTGCTGTGACTCAAGACACTGGATGGCACGCGCAAACGGCATTAGAACAGCGCCGAGACGCTCGAGGCTCTTCTTGAAACGTAAAGTGTCTTCTTCATCCAGAAAGTGTTTCGTGAGTGCCTGATGGTCAATCAGATTTTTGATCAGGATTTTCGGATGCATTTAACGTATGGCTGTATCAATACCAAGCCCAGGATGGCGTACAATAGAAACAAAGGCTGGAATGTTGCGAAGGACTGAGTCCAGACTCCAGTATACAAACCCGAATCGATGGTCTGTGAGGCTCATCAGTCCACGTCCGATCTTGAGCTCGTCTCGTGCTTTATCAAACCAATGACAAGCATAGCTCGACATTGACATGTAGCTCAGAATGCCACGAAGATCGGCAATGACCTGGGAAACAGGTCAGATAGTCTCTATAGAAGTCAAGTTGTTCCTACGCACCTCCTGGAAACAATCCAGCTTGCAGATGTCCTCGCAGGTATTGTGTAGGTTATGGCATGCGTCCGCAAAGTTGAGCATTCGAGGATATTTCTTGATTGTGAGTTCCCGTCCTTTTCGTGCATAGGCAGCGTCATCCGAAACGATCGCACAGAAACGCTCCGGCCCAATCGCCGAAATCCACTTTGTCATCAGCGCTGACATGTTCTCTCCGGTCTGCGACAGACCACCTGCATCGTCAAGCTCCATACAGAAAGACTGGCGATGGGGCGTTGTGATATGCACAGAAGTAAACTTGCGTTTGACGAGTTTACCTCCGTCACAGCTGATGGTGAGGAAGAAGCATTGAGAAAGATAATCCGCCACTGCCACGCGGACATTTGAAGCGTAGACCGGGATCAGCGTATCCTCAAGATGAGTACGGCTTGGAACTTGATATCTGGCGTTCAGTACATTGCTGTAGGCACGAAACTCCTCTGTCCCTGTCACATGGGGGGGGGGACTCCGCAACACACAACCAGCGCAACGAGCGCGTCTGTGGCGGAAGCGTCCGAGAACGAGTTCCGACACAAGAGTTCTGGGTAGTCAATCCACGAATGACAGGGATAAGCTTTTAGAATTGACTAGTGTACCGATCGTACACTCCTAGGTACTTATACTACGATCAAACTATCTACGTAAATACGAACAATCATTGATGGGGAGTCATTGCGGTCAGGTAAGCAAGAGGAGGGATACAACCGTCACATACGCCCTCCAGCTCGGCGCTCGCGGCGAGCTCAAGCCATTTCCTCATCACCCCCCGCTGCTCCCACCGCAGCGGCCGCACCCCCCGCGGCCAACCGATTCGCTCTCGCCTCCTCGATACGCTGGCGACGCTTGGCAATCATCGCTCCGCCGTTGACTCCGGTCGCGTAATCCTCCGTGGATGCGGGTATGTCCCTCTCAGCGAGACGTCGCTCTCTCGCCTTCCGGATGGCGCGATCTCGTCCAATAATGGCCTCACGGCCTTCCTCATACTCGGCAACGGTGATGGTGATCATACCCGGGGCGTCACGGCCAGCCATAATGTCGTCCGAGCACAGGCCATCGTGAACCGTGGGAACGTACTGTTCGGCAAACACAATCCCCCCGCTCTCATCCACCGACGCGAACGACCAACTTTTGTTGTCGTACCGGTTGCACGCCGCTCCGAGCTCCGCGATACCAATCGGTCCTCGGCCGTACACCGTGCCGTCGAAATCCGGGTTGTTGACCGCTTCGTTCCACAGTAAGCACTGCCGGAACTGATGTGCCGTCAGGAGAGCGTCGCCGTCGTTAAGATGCACGAGAAGGACGCCGGGCGCTACCCATTTCAGGGTACCCTTGTGCTTGGCGTTAAACTCGAGGTGCTGCGGGGTGAGGGGTTCTCCCATATTCGTTTTGTCGCTGACCACGTTGCCCGCGTACGCATTGGGTTTCTGGGGATTCGTCATTTCGCGGAAAGGCAGGGCAGGCAGAAGGGGCGGGCAGGATTCCTGAGCACCGTTCGTCCTGTCCTCCCTATTTGTCTCCCTTCTCACTTCTCCTATCCAGTGGAACCGCATGCTCCCGGACTGCAGGTCGATCGCTGGGGCCTCGCTCGCCCCCTTTTTCAACTGAGACACGTCGCTAATCCCCAGGATTTCAAAGTAATCCTGCAAGACGTTCAGTCTACTCACTTGTTGATAGGGCATCCACGTTAGGTCGCCGGACTTCCATTTGACCTCGAAGAGGGCTCGGCGTCGGCTCCCCGCATGTCCAACCACCTTCTCCACGGCCCACTCGGAGTCTGTGGCCGCGTCCGCAACATTCAGTTGATTCTCCATGCGGCCAGGGAACCGCCGATCGTCGTTTGGTACGTGGATCCGCATCAGGGACGCATGGAAGACATTGTGTAACCCTCTTTGAACCAGGTTAGGGGGCAGGTCAACCCGGAATGAAGAATTCCCGAAATCCTGCGTTATGCGATACGGGCCTATGAATTTGGGGAGTAACTTGCGTGCCAGCCCCTTTTCAAAATGTATATTCTTCGTACTAAGATATACCAGGTCGTCCTTCACGAACGGCGCCGGAATCCTTTTGCGATTTGCCGTTCGGATGTGTTTCACCCGGGACGCCAATATGGCATCGTGTGCTGCCATGATTGCCAGGCGCCGCTGGAGTAAGAATGTGGCTACCCCGGGAAACTCCTTTGATCGATAGGAGTCCCATAGTAACGATCTCGGCATCATTCCGTTATTCAGAAAGAACGGAGAATACCCGGTGGTCTCTGACCGGGCCATGTTCATGGCGAACTCGACGGCCGGTAACCGAGTCACCCAGTCCGTCTGTTTGTTACTCACGCACTGTCTCAGTAACTGGGTAACCGTCCTGTTAGCACGCTCAGTCGCTCCGTCGGTCTCTGGGTGATACGCGCTCGACATCTTCAACTCTGTGCCCACGAGATCGTGCAAGCGCTGCCAGAACGTGCTGGTGAACAGCACGTCCCGGTCGCTTACAATTGCATTTGGTAAGCCGTGGTGTTTATACACGTGCTCGAACATCAGCTCAGCGAATTGTCGAGCAGTGTAATTCACTCGGCAGGGTATCAGGTGAACCATCCCAGTCAGAAGGCACACGACCACAGCGATGGAATTAAAGACACTGTCTCTGTTCTTGGAGTCAGGTAAAGGCCCCACAAAGTCGACTCCAATGGCTTCCCATGGTCGGTGGGGAGTGGAAAGAGGGTTGAGCAAGCCATAAGGTGCGTGATTGCTTGGCTTGCTTCGCTTACACACTGAGCATGAGTCACAGTAGGCCTTCACGTCGTGTACCAAGTCTTTCCACCATACGTGCTCTCGAATATAATCTACCGTTTTCCGAGCCCCGAGGTGTGCCAGGACAGAATGCGCCTCTGATATGACAACCTCCCTGATGGAGCGCCCGTTGTATTCCAGCTTAGGGATGCACAGTACCATGTGGTCCTTGTCTTTCATGTAAACCAGCCCGTCCTTTATCTCAAAGTTCTTATGTTCTTTTGGCCGGTCCACTATATTTTTAAAGAATTTATCTTCCTCAAAACGGTTCTGGATGAATCCTGCCAGGTCCAGCCCGTCCTTTCCTTGACGTATGACCGGTATCAACGACGGATCTGTCTCATCGATCCGCGAACTCATTGCGTTTTCAAGGTCCGAGGACCGATCAGCGGAATCAAATTCATTGGCAGGTGGCTGTGACCCGCCCTCCTGCTGGTCGGTCGTTTTCTCACTGTCTTCTGGTCTCTCTCTATCTGTCCCGCCCTCCTTCTCGTCCTCTGGGGCGAGAACCTTCAATCTTTGCTTGTCTATGGATCTTGGAGCCGGTGCTGGTATCCTACCCGCGTTTGGGCTTTTCGCCTTGTCCAGCAGCGCCCTTGCCGCTAACGCGTCTGCGCGCGTCTTCGACCTCAGGACCCGGTCGGACGAGACCGCCATTGCCTCGAGACCCGACAACACAGGCATGGACACATTGTGCACGCCCAGCACGTCGTTATCTATCACGTCGTGGTATGTGTATTCTGATCTTGCGCGCACTGTCCCCGGTGTCTCATTTGAGTACATTCGAGATAGGGCGTCCGCCAGCACATTCTCTGGCCCCGGCACGTACATAATCTCGAAGTCAAAGCTCGAGATTTTCTCCACCCATCGCGCTTGGCGGCCCGACAGGTTAGGCTGGCTCAACAGGTGCGTGAGTCCTTTATGATCGGTAACCCATTGAAATCGGCAGCCTTGCAGGATATCCCGGTGCCTAAGCATTGACTCGACCCCCGCCAGCATTTCAATCTCGTGCACTGGATAGTTCTGCTGGGCCGAGTTCAGCTTCGCTGAGTAGAATGCCGCCACCTTTCCGCTCTTCCAGTCTGGGCCCTGGCACACCACGCCCGAGACGCCAGTGGCGCAGCCATCTGTTACCAGAAAGATAGGCTCCGCGTCCGGGCCATAGTCTAAGGGCACTCTGTGGTGGTTCCTAAGGTCAGACACAATCCGTTTTATATCTTCGAACGCGCGCTGATGCGTAAATCCCCAGCGAAACGGGACTGTGTCCCCAGTCAAGCCGTGCAATACTCCCATAGGTACGCGCACTCGGGCCAGATCATCCGCCAGGTAGCCCACCGATCCCAGGAAGCCACGGAGGAGGTCCCGATTCGTGGGCGTCTTCCAGTTCAGTACAGTATCTACCTTCTCGGAATCCATCCGGATCCCTTGGTCCGTGATCACCCGTCCCAAGACTTTCAATTCGGGTTGTAGAAACTGGAGCTTATTCTCTCCAAGGTACAGTTTCTCCCTTTTCAGAACGTCAATTACTAACTTAACGTGCTTTACGTGGTCTTCTAGCGTCGTTGAATAGATTATGATATCGTCAAGATATACGTCCATGAATCGGCCAATATAGTCTGAGAACAGGTAGTTCATGAGAGACTGATAGGTCGCTGGTGCGTTACAGTCCCCTTGTTGCAGTACCAGGCTCACCATATTTCCGTCGGGTGTTGTCATCGTTGTTCTATTCACATGCTCGGGGATCACTCGTATTTGCTCGTATGCGTCCTGGCCATCAATTAGGGATCGAAAACGGCATCGAGCTACGCGGCGTAGTATTCCGTCCATGTCTGGAAGTGGCGACGCCATCTTTCGCGTGTTCGCATTGCGCTCCCGAAGATCCACTACCACCCGAAGTCGCGGGGGGCTAGATTTTGCCTTGGGGATCAGTAACATAGGTACTGTGTTCCCGGCGTTTGTTATCTTCCAGCGCCCCGTTTTCAGGTATACTCGTCGCTTCTCATCCCACTGGGGTCTGAGCGCATCTGGGCACCGAGACATTCGCCATGGCATGACTTTGCCCGGGTCGATCAACGGAATGCTGTGATTTATTGCCCTGAGCGGCGGCAGCTCTGTTTCCGCCGCCACTCGACACACTTCCTGGGCATACTCTTTCAGTTTTCCTCGTGCTTGCTCCAGATCTCCGGTCTGCACGTCCGTCGCACCGGTGTGTAGTCGTGCCGTTGCCACTCCTTCTAACGGCTCAGGGTCGGCGCTTCCCACACACACACGTGAGGGATTGAAACCGATGCTCACGCGATGCTGGAACAACCACGCGGTCCCCAGTATCAGATCGTAGCCGCTGATATTCGCTACGAAAAAGGTACGAGGCCCGTTTATGTCTTGGTATCTCACTCCTACCCGCGTAGTGTGGTTTATCTTTGACCTGGATCCTTGGACCGCCAGCTGGAGGGTGAGAGGCTCAGCCAGGTTCCGCAACGGCAATCTCAGCTGATCCACCACCGTGGTCGATACCAGGTCGCCCAACGATCCCGAGTCTACCAGGGCCCGAAGCGGGTGCCCGTTCACGTGTACCACAATCACCAATGGCTTTGCAACAACGGTATCCTTTGACTTCGGGAACGAGGCCGATCGTGCGATCCCGGGCATCTTGTCCGCTGGCACCTGCGCGCCGTGACAAGCCAGGGCGCAGGGTACGCCTTCCGTTGTTACCATGGTTTCTCGCGAAAACCACCAGCTGTCCGGCGGCACCATGGGGTATGTCACCGCTTTGCAGTTCGCTCGATCTGACTTTTGGCGCTTTCTAGTCAGCAGGTTGACCAAATCCAGTCTCGGGTTCAAGAGCTGTTTACGTGGCACTTCTACTCGCGTCAGGCCCCCGCTGTCCTGGATCTCGAAGACGTACAAGACGGGTACGTTTGGGCCTTCGATCTTGCCTTCCGAGAACCGTGGCTCAATGTTAACGCAGTTTCCACATGCTTCCGGGTACCGAGACACCATCTCGTCCAAGTAGAAGCTTAGTTGTATCCCCAGCAGGTCGTCAACCGCGATTCGATGTTCCCCGGACAGTTCTTCTGCCGGTATGGACAGTTGCTCGCTTACCCGGCCGGAATACCAGGCGCCTAACTCGAAGCGCCGATTCTCCAGCATGGATCTCGGCAGGTAAGTCGACAGATTGTTCTTGCGGTCCCTCACGTAGTAACCTTCTTCGCACCAGGACGAAATCACGCTGAACCTTTCCCCGGAGTCACGCGGCATGTGATTGTTTACGCTGTCGTCGCCAGGGTATGGCTGACAGAACTCCAGTAGACATCGTACGCCATCAGACATGAGGTCTCCAATCCTCCTTTCATGAGGACTCCTCCGCCGGTGAAATGCTGAGGGCGTGCTCACAAGTGAATCTACTATGAAAGTAAACCCAAATATAAAACACGTTCACACTCCTCGTAATCAGCTTCTCAGTGTGTGAAAGATGCGAGGGCTTCGGGGTGGACAGAGCACCAGTATCACAACTCTCAATAGACGCAGATCCAATAATCGCGGAGACGAAGTCGACGACAAAGAATTTATATATAGCAAACAATGGTGTCTCAACCAATATCTTCTATACGAACACAACCAACACTAATCCAATCCACAAACAACAATATAACAAGTCAGAGCTTAATACGAAGTATTAAGATCCCTTGTAGCGACAGCGTCCAGATGGCGACGCAAAGCTCAAATATCAAGTCGACGCACTGCCAACCGATACAACCAATATACTGAGTCGACGCACTGCCAACTGACAAAACCAAAAGTACTGAGTCGACGCACTGCCAACTAGTAAACCAAAATGCCGCGTCGACGCACTGCCAACTAACAGCCAATATCCAATGTCCAAAACCCGAGCACAACTTGTCGACGCACTGCCAAGCAAGAAGTGTGGAACCAAAGTTCTCAAGTCGACGCACTGCCAACTGACCAAAACAACCCGAGCACAACTAGTCGACGCACTGCCAAGCTAGAGGTGTGGAACGATCTCAACAAAGCCCGAAGGCGACGACACTAAATGCCGCGACTAAACCAGATGCGGCGAATCCGACTTTCTGATGTCTCAACTCAAACTCAAATCACAGTAGCTACAAGTGCTCAGGGAGCAACTCGTCGCGACCGGGCAGGGGTAGCAGAACTTCTTAGGGTGGAATCACGCGGCACGCAAATTGTACAAAACAATCTGATATGAGAGTGATTCACAGTCCGGGGGAAAGCTCCCCAATACAAAGAAACGACGTGCTACTTATACTGTCTACGACGCTGCTTAGTAAAGTCCTGTACAACTGCATAGTAGCTACGCTATCTAAGATCGGTTGCCTTTTAGGGTAATTGAAAAGTTGAACGATCGGACAGGTCCTGAGTGATCAGGACCCCGCCCCATTGTCCATATGATACTTTTGATGTGGGTCAACTCACCGCGTCATACTTTTGGAATACGACGTGTTGGATTGGCCAACGGGTATGTCTTGGCAAGTGAGACCAACGTGGGCGCCCCAAGAAGCCGTATGGCCCTAGGCACACCAGTCGTCCCCCACATGGCTCGGTTCACGGATCTAGCCGTGTCGGTTTCTAGTGTGTTTGGGTATGGACGCGACTTGCCGTGACACTTGGAAGTGTCACCGCGACGCGTCCACAACGTCCCGTGATCGAATGGATCCTGACATGTGACAAGTCGTCGTCGTGGCATGATCTGAGGAGACGTCCAACTCAAAACCGGGAGTTGCCGCGACAAGATGGTTTAAGTCTCGTAACGCCAAGTCCTGTCCAGTAGTAGTTCTATTATTGAGAACGTCGCGCATTGCTCAGCCCTTCAGCCCAAGTTCCCATCTGCAGAGAATGACCCTTTTCGAGAAGTCGACGCAACGACAGATCCCTTTTTGGGGAATGGTCGCGGTCCAAGCGTTCGTCACTAATGGCCCTGAGCCTGGTGTAGACCCATAAGACCAGTTCCACAGTAGTGGTCTGACTGCCTTGCTATCGTCGACACTATCCACAGTCGTCGACTGGGCAGTAGACCCTTAAGTCCTACTGAGCGCAACACTGTCAACCGCGACACGATACACTGAATGGTTCAAGAGTAAACTCTGTAAAAAGCGCAAAAATACGCCCTTACAGAGCTGGTGCAGAGCGCGTCTGGTAGCCAGCCTATCATCTCCCAGGAACACTAATTTTGACCTCCTGGTCAATCCCGCGACAGTCTCACTGCGTCAGGTCTAAGTCCAACAGTCGACGTCTCGTTCATTTATTATTAAAGCCGCGGAGACATAGAGTTATGTTCCCACGTCTTATTCATTTGGTTGTTCGGTTCCTTCCGTGATCTGCCGCGATCAAACTTCTTCCGGCATGTTCACCATATAAATGCCCTCAATTTTCAGGGTCGAGAGTCTCCCTAGTACGAGACACTCTTGCCTTTTGACCACCATGTCCGCGCCCGACCAGAGCCCCCGCCCCCAAGACACCAACCGTGAGTGACGCCCAGGACGATTACCGCGACTTTTTCAACCACGCTAACCGTCCATCAGCCGTCACCGAATCAGCTGTCCCGGGAGCAAACCTGCCTGCCATCGACTGGCGGCAGTTCATGCCGTCAGTCAATGTCTCTCCCATGGCTTGTCGACTCAGCTCACCACCTGCCTAGCCCTGAGGCCTACGACATGATGTTGCGGCAGATGGCCGTCGACGTCCGCCAGATCCAGCAGGTGAGCTCCGTTCTAAGCCCGCTGGAGCGAGCAGTCACGGCGATCAATGATTGCCGCGCCTGTTCGCTTTGGCCTTCCTTCTTTTCACTCACGTAAGGACTAGCCGGCGTCTACGCCCTTGACCACCAACGCTCCAGTCGAGGAGTCGTCGCCGCCCAAGAAACGCAAACGAGTCGTCGAACCCGTACGTGTAATCTGTTTCATTCGTTTACTATGTTCTGATCGACCCCCAGGCGGCTCCAACCGAACAAGTCGCCGCCCCTTCGTCGTCCCGGCCTGCCAAGCAGAAGGAGAAGGGTGACGGCTCCAAGCCGCAGGCCCCTGCCGCCGTCGCGGGCAGCAAGGTCGCCGTCGCCAAGAAGTCGAGCGAGAAGTCGCAGGGGAAGCGACCCAAGGCGACTCCTGCAAAGGAGCCCAAGGCGTCGTCCCACGCGCCTACTCGTAAGTCGCTCTTTCCTTTCATTCACCAGAGTCGCGGGTACTGACTTGTCGTAGCCGCTACCTCGGTCCCTATTCCACAGGGGTCACTTCCCAAGCGCGTTCACAAGAAGACGCACGTAGGTGTGTAATCCTATGTCTTATTTCATTGATCTTTAGACTAACCACCTGGTCCCTCCCAGCCCGGATCCAAGCACAGCCCGTGCAACCCGAGTCCCTCAGCGATGAGGAAGCCGCCGCCGTCGCCGACACTGCGATGGATGTCGACGACGAGGGGGTCCAGGAGGGAGACGCGTCATCGGCCGACGAGCTGGCCCTTCAGGTAAGTGACCCAGTTCGTCGATCGCGATTCCTTCGTCTCATGGTTGGTTTGTTTTTGACAGGGGCCCAAGTCCAAGGGGAAAGCGCGATCGAATTTGAGTGCGTTCTTCCTCTTGCCCCCTCTGTCGATTACTCATACTTTCGTAGCCCCGTCCGTTATCGTCATGGACGACACTTCCGAAAGTGGGGAGGAGACCGGCGATTTCGTCGTGGCCAAGAAGCAGGTCAGCGAGACCCGCGTCAAGCCCAAGGTAAGCCGACTCCTTTTTCCCAGACCACGCCCCTTAATCCAGCTTTTTAGCCAATCAAGAAGGTCGCGGACGGATCGTCCAAGTCGACCAAGTCCGTGCCCCCCCAACCGGTGCCAAAGGTGGAGGCCAGTCGCAAGGCGAGCGCCCCGCGAGCGACGACTACCCCGACCCCAGTGGCTAAGGTGAGACACTAATCTTGGGTTCCAGACATCGACTAACTCAATTTTCTTTCTTTTCTAGGTTGCCCAGGCGGCTCCCGCCGCTACCAAGACTCCACGCAGTGAGTTGGGCAGGGTGGCCGCGACCCTTGGTCGCGAGCGGAGTGTTGCTGCGGCCAAGGCCGAGCTCAAGGCTCAGAAGGCAGAAAAGTCCGTTGCGGCGGCCAAGAAGAAATCTGACTCGGTGAGTCGCGACTTTTTCTTGTCGTCGACTTTTTACTGACTTGACTGTTTCTAGACTCCTGCGAAGGCGTCGGCTCCCACGCCCCGAGCTCCGTTCACTCCCGCCGCCTACGACACCGAGGCGCTCCTTTCGGTGGCACGCCAAGGGTTCGCGGGGAAGTTGGAAAGGGCCGGCGTAGAGGTGCCCACTGACTTCGTGCGTTCTTTTATCTTTTTCTCTCATGCCTCGACGACTGACTCCCTTTTTCATAGGAGGTCGCGCCAAGACCCTGCGCGATGTGCGTGACGCGGCAGCGCGTCTGCTTCAAGAGCGTCGACGGGCGCCACGGCAATCGGTGCGCCCCGTGCGTGCTTTATAAACAGACTTGCACCAATGGCTACAAGCCCTCGGAGCAGCTGTATATGGGGCAACGCTTCGGGTACATCGCGCAGATGAGCGCGGACGGTAAGAGTCCACTCTTTTTCATTTCTATTTTTGATCGTTTCTGACGGCGTTTTCAGACCTCAACAAGTCCGCCAACCGTCTCGCCGACACCTTGGACGCGTACGGCGGGCTTCTTCGCACGGCCAACGAGATCCGCGTCCTGGCCATTGGCCAGTTCCGCGATTTCGTTGGTCAGCTGAAGGAGCATTTCGACGACGGCTCGGACGAACGCATCAAGGCGATGTTCGTCCACACCGCGACCGAGATCGACGCCGCCGAGATGGCCGACATCCGCAAGGGTGTTCGGATGATCTTGGCCCACGGGGACTTGTTGGATGGCGAGGCGAACGAGCGGTTCGCGGCACCCCCTGCCTTCTTCGATCCCTTTTTCTATCGCGAGATGGAAAAGATGGAGAAGCAGTTCCAGAGGGAGATCGAGAAGGCCCAGGAATTCGACAAGTCGGACCCCGCGACCGTCCAGGATCAAGCGTTCCAACCTGGCGAGGATCACGAGATCGACGTCGCGCACTTGGCGAGTAGTCGTACCCGTGCGCCTTCCTCGTCGCCCCAGCCTTCGCCATCGCCGCCTCCTGTTGCGTCGTCGTCCCAAGCCGTTTTACAGGTCTTGGACTTTTCCGACAACTACAGCGAGACCTCGGCCGAGTCCACCAAGGCCGCTTCGGATGAAGACGCGGAGGGTGAAGAAGACGGGTCTGCCGGCAACGAGAACGCCGACGACGGGAAAGTC